AAATTAGGATTGCAGTATTTTAAATAGGGTAATTGTCATTCAGCATTGCCTCTTATCATTATTATGACAATGCCATGATCTGTAATCATGTTCATAAAGTCACCTGTCATATTCCCTTCTGTCTGTCAATGGCAGCCAGTGGGACATTTTTGCTTTAATATTTTTAAAGTTACTAGAAATTTAACAGTTTTTTGACATAGTTTTTACTGTGACCCTTTACTGTATGCTTCCCTGCCACAGATGGAGTAAAAAAAAAACAAGTGAATTCATCAGATAATGCTAGTATGGCGAAAAAGTTAGTTTTTAAATACTTACGTCCTAACATTATGCTGCCAGACTCTGAAAAATCAATTAAATAAAAAGAAAGGAAATATACCACTGCAGATGCAAACCTGTTTTATCTGGTGGCTTCCTTACCTGCTGAGCTGACAGTTTAGACACATTTAGGGCTGAAACGATCAGAATAATTGGATTAATCGATTATTGAAAAAAATCATTAACTAATTTATTACTCGATAAATCATTAACTAGACTATAGAGACTCTAAAACATGCCTTTAGCTGACAGTGACCCACTTAGAGCAGTAATTATATCAAAATGGTAAAAAAAAAAAATATATATATATATATTTTGCATTTAAGATAAAAAAAAAAAAGTTTGTGGAAATGTTTTAGTTTCACTTGGTTTAATCTTTAAGGAACATTTTGCTGTCTGATTATTAATAAAAAAATAAATAATTTGCTATATAATTGCTACTTTCAACCCTGTTCACTGTTTTTGGTCCGTGTTTTGAACAACGGCTTTAAATCAACTGGTATCAGTTTCATTTTCAGAGTCCACTGATTAAATCGTCTTTAAATTTCACAATAAAATATATTTTTTTTCTTTGTTTGCTCTTTCAACAGAATGGGATCAATAATTAGAGAGTGGGTTCTGTAGCGAATAACAACAATAATAATTTAACTTTATTGATCTCACATTGGAGAAAATAACCCTCTGCTTTTAACCCATCCACTTGGGGAGCAGTGGGCTGCCATTGTGCGGCGCCTGGGTAGCAGTGTGGGGTTAAGGGTCTTGCTTAGGGACCCAGATGAAGTCTGTGGGAGTGGGGCTCAAATTCAGAAACTCAGGATTCCAAGCTCTATGCCCTAACCACAAAATCCGGTCATATTCAGAATTCAAACTTCTGAAAGTCCTTTAAATATGAAATTATTATATACTGTTCAATAAATGATCAGTGTTTTTAATCCAGAGTAATTTTCATGTGAATGTGCTTTACTGGAGGCATCCATGTTTGTCAAAGAACACTACTGCCACCTACTGGTTTGTGACGTCACGGTGCGGTATCGGCTGTTGATCAAGTCCCAGTGCTGTATCTGGTGTTTGTCACAACGTGCATTAAATCACCGCAAATGTATTAGATTTAAGTATAAATAATGATCCATTGATTATTCCTTGCTGACCAGACAGTGAAGCAGGGAATCCTAAAATCTCCCTGTTTAAATCATGCTCTTCACAACGGAATGAGAAAACATAAAGAACGACAGAAAAAGGGACAAATGTGACTCCTAGATGTTCCTCTGGAAGCTTTATGGCTCCTGTTTTTTTAATTTTTCATACTGTGACTTGGCTCCGGGGTGTTTTCTCTCATTCAGCTTTTAACTCATTACAGCCTCATCTGCTCTAAAAGAAAATGACCCAGATGGATGTTAATCCTTTTATTATTATTAAGTGCTTTTATTCTTTCTTCAACAAATGCAACCTGAAATGTCAGGATGAACGGCTCTCCCTTCATCCATCTATGAGCAGCCTGTTCTCCAGCAGGCGTGGAGAGCACTGCTGAACCCGTTCCTCATCCTTCCTGAAGCCACTGTCACACCATGATGATTTAGACCTGCGGATGCTTGATATAAAAAAACTAAATCTGGCAAAAACACTGGCACACGTTGGATAAGTTATGAGCATACTGAAACAAGCTGGCGTACGGCGAGATGGCAGTGTCTGCCATCCGTGGGCCATCAGTTCCAGGTCAGTTATCTGATGGTTGACATCCGTTCAGCATCAGTTCCTCATCAGTCGTGGCGTCTAGCTGATCCTAAACCTCTGAGTAACTTGTGCATAACTTCTGCGTAACTTATCCAGAACTTCTCTCCAAGCATATCAAGGTATCTGACGTATTCCAGACGAGCGCTGAACGTGTTTCTAACTTCCAGCTACTGTATAATGGCGTATTGGCAGCGTTTTGGTATAATGGGGGTTCACAGGAGGAAACCGTCAGTTCTCCTCCAGACTTCATCCCCATCATAGGGTGAGCCAGCGTCCCTGCGTTCACGCCCACCACCAACAAACTTCCTAGCAGAAGAACGTCGCTCCAGATGCTGAATCTGCTGCCAATGAAAACCGTCTTCATTTTTAACCTTTTTTTTTTTTAGCAGGCGATAAACAGCAGCTAGGTTAATACTTCAATCAAAGACATATTTTTATGCAGGCCAGGTGCTCCGTGTGCATTGCTGCATGGATAAATTGGCGAGGTGTGACAGGGGCCTGAGGAATGTGAGCTCTTCTCTTTTGACAGAGGTTTCAGGATAACAAAAACCAAACTGAACCACTTTAAGTTCTCCTTCTACCCACATTCATCAAAATTTAAAGTCAAATTTTTAAATACATCTGTAGGGGGAGAAATGTGTAATAACTTTGTGTTCTGCTTGTTTTAGTATTGGGGCTTCAGTGAAAGCCTAAAGAAGGCATTTTGTTGTTATTTAGACCAGAGTTTCCCAACCTTCTTTTACTTGTCTTTCACTTTGGGCATTCTGTCTTACCAAGAGCCCCCACCCCTTGTTTAGTAAAACAATAAAGATTGTTTTACTCAATCTTTTAATTTCAGCATTTAGTTCTTATCATTATATTATCCAATCTCAAATAATAAAAAAACAACATAAATATGATGCCTGGAAGCTAGTAAAGAATCGAAATAAATCTAAATTAAAATGATAATATAAACCTGTATTTATAAAACAGGAGCTCCTCTGAGTAACTCCCTTTAGCTGGTACCATTATATGAAAAAGTTTGGGCTCCCCTATTAATCTTATTTTTATTTCTAAATATTTGGGTGTTTGCAGCAGCTATTTCAGTTTGATGCTATTTCGGTTCCCGATGCCAGCATTGGCAGCGCAGCCCCAAAGCATGATGGAACCTCCACCATGTTTTACAGTGGGTAGCAAGTGTTTTTACTGGCATCAGGAATCTTGCTAAAGTTGAGGGTCGCATGGATTCCACTCAATATCAGCAGATTCTTGCGAATAATGTCTAAGAATCAGTTAGGAAGTTGAAGTTATGCCGGGGTTGGATATTTCAGGGATACAATGATCCAAAACACCGCTCCAAATCTACTCAGGCATTCATGCAGAGGAACAATTCTAATGTTCTGGAACGGCCATCCCAATCCCCAGACCTGGCTATCATTGAACATCTGTGGGATAATGTGAAGCAGGCTGTCCATGCTTGGTGACCATCAAACTTAACTGAACTGGAATTGTTTTGCAAAGAAGAATTGTCAGAAATCCCTTCATCCAGGATCCAGGAACTCATTCAAAGCTACAGGAAGCGGCTAGAGGCTGTTGGTTTTGCTAAAGGAGGATCTACTACACTCACCGGCCACTTTATTAGGTACCCCATGCTAGTAACGGGTTGGACCCCCTTTTGCCTTCAGAACTGCCTCAATTCTTCATGGCATATATTCAACAAGGTGCTGGAAGCATTCCTCAGGGAGTTTGATCCTTATTGACATGATGGCATCACACAGTTGCCGCAGATTTGTCGGCTGCACATCCATGATGCGAATCTCCCGTTCCACCACATCCCAAAGATGCTCTATTGGATTGAGATCTGGTGACTGTGGAGGCCATTTGAGTACAGTGAACTCATTGTCATGTTCAAGAAACCAGTCTGAGATGATTCCAGCTTTATGACATGGCGCATTATCCTGCTGAAAGTAGCCATCAGAAGTTGGGTACATTGTGGTCATAAAGGGATGGACATGGTCAGCAACAATACTCAGGTAGGCTGTGGCGTTGCAACGATGCTCAATTGGTACCAAGGGGCCCAAAGAGTGCCAAGAAAATATTCCCCACACCATGACACCACCACCACCAGCCTGAACCGTTGATACAAGGCAGGATGGATCCATGCTTTCATGTTGTAGACGCCAAATTCTGACCCTACAATCCGAATGTCGCAGCAGAAATTGAGACTCATCCGACCAGGCAACGTTTTTCCAATCTTCTATTGTCCAATTTCGATGAGCTTGTGCAAATAGTAGCCTCAGTTTCCTGTTCTTAGCTGAAAGGAGTGGCACCCGGTGTGGTCTTCTGCTGCTGTAGCCCATCTGGCATCAACAAGGCATTTCCGCCCACAGAACTGCCGCTCACTGGATGTTTTTTCTTTTTCGGACCATTCTCTGTAAACCCTAGAGATGGTTGTGCGTGAAAATCCCAGTAGATCAGCAGTTTCTGAAATACTCAGACCAGCCCTTCTGGCACCAACAATCATGCCACGTTCAAAGTCACTCAAATCACCTTTCTTCCCCATACTGATGCTCGGTTTGAACTGCAGGAGATTGTCTTGACCATGTCTACATGCCTAAATGCACTGAGTTGCCGCCATGTGATTGGCTGCTTAGAAATTAAGTGTTAACGAGCAGTTGGACAGGTGTACCTAATAAAGTGGCCGGTGAGTGTATATATTGATGTCTCTTTTTTGCTGAGGTGCCAATATTTTTGCACCTGTCAAATTTTGTTTTAATCCATATTGCACATTTTCTGTTAGTCCAATAAACCAATTAACTACTGAAATAGTACTGTGTCCATCAGTTAGAAACACCCAAATACTTACAAATAAAACTCATTAAGATTAATAGGGGGGGGGGGTAAACTTTTTCATATGACTGTATTTGTTTTTCTTTTTAAGAGAGAGAAAATGTTTTTTATTTTGTAAATTTTAGGTTTTGAAGTCAGAGGCTTATCTGGATTACATTGCAAAGCGACTGAAGCTGGATTTAATCAACCATGCAGCAAAGGAAGGGTGCTCCTCTGAGGTGAGAATACATTTATGTGATATAACAAAAAAAAACTTCTAACAATTAAACTGTGGCTAATGAAGGACAGTGTGCTTGCAGAACAATGTGATGGGGATGCTGGAAAATCTCAGATATATCAAGGAAAAACATTCACTTCTGAGGGATCAGATCAGTAAGATCGCCGATGCTCAGAAAGAATCGATGGAGACCATCAGGAAAAGGCAGAGCAGGGCCATGGAGCTGCTGAAGGAATGTCAGGAAGCGTCAGATTTAAAGGTACCTGCATTCACATATTACTAATGTGTTAATTACATCATCACTCTATGCCATCCCTCAAGGGTTCCATCAGTTTTCAAACTGTTCTTCTCATCCAAGGGGAATAAATATCACTAGCAGGATCAGATTTCACTGCTGTTTACTTTTTTTATTTGATTTTATTATTCAACAATAATGACACATTATTGTCAGATGTGACTGGGCATGTGATTTTACCTGGAAGGTTACTGTTATAGTTTATACAATGTTGTTATATGAATCTGAAGGTTAATTCACTGTGAAATAATCCTCCAGCACCTCAACATGATAACCTGTTTGAAGGAGATTTAAACATTGGAATGTTCTTTTTTTGTAGAGTTATAAGAAACACATTTTCTCACAGGGTTACAGCAAAAAGTTTTATCTGGCCTTAAAAGAGGAAACCCTGGCAGTCCAACGCCAGAACAGTGCAGCTGTTTTCCACTCTGGGGTTTAAGTTTGCCAGGAACAGAAACACCAACCCAGACCCAACCAGAGTGCTTCCATTGGACAAAGAAGACAGGTGGTTTGAGAGGGGCGTGAAGGAAAGCATTTATGCTAAGAAAGAAAAACCAACCTTAAACAGAGAGGGGGGGGGGGGGGCGCTCAAATTACAGCTTTCAAAAACCTACAGGTAGCATTGAATTCTTTCCGCTATCATCGCAACCCCCCTCCCCTTTACAGGGGAACAGAAGACTTAACCAATTCAGCCAGGCCAACAATTGCCTTTAATGACCCTCCTTTCAGAGGTACTGCATGGGGGTCATAAAAGTTTTGGTTAATCAGATGTGATTTATATATTCCCCCTGCATTTTTTTTCTACTAGTTGAAATGTCTCTAAATCCACATTAACATGAATTCAACAGACTAGTAAGCAGATCAATGGAGGCAGAAGATGTCTTTCAGTCTTCAATGCTCACATTCAGCGACACACAGGAGCTCTTTCAAGCTGGGCACCGTTTCATTCACAACACCTGTCCCATCAACCAGGAATCAGAAATACTTTAATAATCCCAGGGAGGAATTACTTTAGTTACATTACTCCATCTGTAATAGAGTGACTATAGGACCAGGTTGATAGAACACTATTTAATACAATATATATTTAATTAGGGGGTCCTCGCTCCATCTCACCATCAGTTTGGGGGTCCTTGGCCTAGAAAACGTTGAAAACCCCTGATCTAGACTATCAAGTGATTTCAGAGAGAAATGTGCTGCCCAGTATCAGAAAGCTTGAGCTCAGTCGCAGGTAAAGAGTCTGGCAACAGGATAGTGACTGAAAAGAATGGTTTAGATCAGGCATGTCCGAGGACAGTCCTTAAGAGTCGCTGTCCTGTAGGTTTTAGAGGTTTCCTGCTTCACCACATCTGATTCCCGTTGATAGCTGATTTACAGGCATTTGCTGAAATGCAATCATCAGAATTACAGTTTTTAAATCAATTTATTGAAGCATGATTAAAAAGCTACGTTTCTGTGACCACTGTGGGTTTTTCTTTCCATATATGAGGGGCACCAACAATTTTCTCCACGTGTTGACAATAGTAACTTTTTTTTCTTTTCTAAGTAATTAGAATTAAATATGACTTAGGAAATTATCAATAAAAATGTTCACTAAACTCTCTTGTGACTCATGGATCGATTTCTCCTTCTCAGGCTGAATCATTCGAAGGATTGGGGCAAGAATCCTCCATGTTCCTGGATTGGTCGGATCACAGCTGATGTATGATTTTAAACAAACACTTTAGACAAAGTTCATTTGGTTTATATGAAATGTAACATGATGAAAAGCAACAATTTGCTACAAATAACACAAATTGTTACCTTTATAAATGTGTTATGCTAACCACTGGCAGTATACAACCCCTGGCAAAAATGATGGAATCAGCGGCATCAGAGGATGTTAATTTTGTAGAAAAAAAGCAGATTACAGACATGAAACAAAGCTAAAGTAATTTCAAATTGCAACTGTCTGGCTTTAAGAAACACTAAAGGAAATCAAGAAACAAAAATGCAGTAGTCGGTAACGGTGAATTTCTTAGACCAACAGAGGGAAAAAATGTGGAATCATGAAAAACCAAAAGATGATCCAACACATGGCTAGTATTTTGTTGCAACACCTTTGCTTTTCTAACAGCTTTCAGTCTCTGAGGCTTTAATTTAACTCTTCATCAATCTGGCTTCAGCTTTGCAGGTTGGAGGCTGGTGATTCCATTATTTCTGCTAGAGGTTCTACAAATTCAGTTATTTAATTCTATCACAGAACATTGCTTTTATATATATATCTTTAATTGCAGGGGGGATTAATGGATGTCTATTCTATTAACATTTCTCTATCTGTAGAATGGGTTTTATGTGTTGTCTGCTCCATTCAGAGGGCCCCTCTCTGTCTTTACCCAGGGCCCCAAATGTCCTCAATCTTCCCCTGGTTGAATGTTAATCAACTGAACTGACAGCAAGATTTCCGTTCTCTGTTAAGCACTTTTAAGAATTTTCAGTTCATAATACAAGTTTAAAGTGGAGTTTGCTTTGAAACTGAAGGATTGTCGGTTCACGCTCTGGCCTTTAATGTTATTGTGTCCTTGGGCAATACACTTCACCCCCACCGCCTATTGATGGTGGTCAGAGGGCCGGTGTACGGCAGCCTCGCTGTCAGTGAGCCCCAGGGCAGCTGTGGCTACAAAGTAGCTTGCCACCATCAAAGGTCTGATGAATGACTGAATGTTGTGTAAAGCGCTTTGGTCAAGTCTCCTAACTTTAAAAACGCGATATAAATATAATATCTATATATTCACCAATTTAAGGTTAGAAAGAAATCTGTAAGCTGGGCATTTTTTCACGCCACCGTATGCAATAGGCGCGCCCTGCTGACGTTCATCTCTCACTCTGGATGTTTACTCCATGTTGCTTAATCTATGTAAAAATGAAAAGAAAACGAAGGTTTTTAAAATATCAAAGTTAAAATTAATTTGACGTAGATTCCACTCTAACAGAAATCTGTATTTTAAAGTGTACTAAATTTCTTCCTCATTATAATTTTTTTTCTTTCTTTTTTTTTTTTTTTTTTCTTCAGGCTTAAAAGTGTAAAGCTCAACTGGAACTTTAGAGGCAACTTTTTTTTTAAACGTTTTTGTAACTATAATAAAAGCTGAAACAAAGTCAGAATATGCAGTCTTCTTAATTAATTACATTTTAAAAATACTTATTTAACCCCAAAGGGAAATGTAATGTAATGTTTGATTGAGGTTTCATGGTAATGGCTAAGTGGTAGAAGGATCTCCTGTGGATAAAAACCAAATGCTATTTTTTAAAATGAATGACATGAAATGATTATATATTGTTACATTAAATGAATGATACATTTCTAGAAATGTCCTCACAAAGGTTTGATGCAGAGTTTCCTGTTTAGACGTTTTGTATTTTAGTATTTTAATATTCTGAATACTCATTGACTCGAAAGCAGTTTGTCACACCAAGCATGCATGCAGCCACAGTGGAGAGGAAAAATCTCTTTGAACAGGAAGAAACCTCCAGCAGAACCAGAACTAGGCTCTGTGTGAGCGGCCAACTGGGAGACAGAGGAGGACATAGAAAAGAAGCAGAGATACAAAAGCCAACTGTCCTCACACAGCCAGGCAGAGGATGAAGAGAGCACATCCAGTTAGTCACAGTCAGAGAAACAGGACTACACTGAAAAAAAGGCCCAGCTCCAACATCTAGAAACAAAGGTGTTGATGGCAGCAGCACAGATGATATTTCTCTCCAGGATGGAGTCACAGCCAAACAGGAACAGACCAGATGAAGCTACTATGAGAAAAAGCAGAGAGAGCAGAACGTTAGAGATGGAACTAACAGATTCTGAAGAGTGGGAGAATAGAGATAGAATGATAAAAAGGGGTCCCTATGTCCTCCAGCAGTCCAAGGCTATAGCAGCATAACTATAGAGATAGCCCAGGATAGCCTGAGCCACTTTAACTATAAGCTTAATCAAAAAAGGTAAGTTTTAAATCCTTGCCTTAAAAGTAGACAGGGTTTCTGCATCACAGGCCAAAACAGACATATACAGTGAGGAAAATAAGTATTTGAACACCCTATTTTGCAAGTTCTCCCACTTAGAAATCATGGAGGGGTCCACTGTGAGACACATGCTCTAAAAACAATCCAGAAATCATAATATATGATTTTTTAAACTATTTATTTGTATGATACAAAAAAAAAAAATTGAACACCTGTCTATTAACTATAATTCTAACCCTCAAAGACCTGTTAGTCTGCCTTCAAAATGTCCACCTCCACTCCTGTTATTATCCTAAATTAGATGCACCTGTTGGGGGTCATTAGCTGCATAAAGACCCCTGTCCACCCCATACAATCAGTAGGAATCCAACTACTAACATCCAACACCAAAGAGCTGTCCAAAGACACTGGAGACAAAAGTGGAAACCCCCACAAGGCTGGAAAGGGCTACGGGGATATTGTCAAGCAGAAAAAAAAGGTCCAGTGTTGGAGCAATCATTGGAAAATAGAAGAAAAACGCATTGATATAGAAGTTCAGAGCATTAATGTATATGGTGCAATTATGCAGTATTTTTTGTTTTGTTTTATCAGCGTGATTCAGAGTCTGTGACATGATTTAGAGGTTTTTCAACAGTTCATCAGCCTGATGGCTGTGGGGAAGAAGCTGCTGCAGAACCTGCTGGACCTGCATCGAATACTGTGAAGCCTCTTCCCAGAGGGCAGCAGGGAGAGCAGTCCATCGAGGGGGGGGTGTCATTGATGATGTTACGAGCTGAAATGTCTTTAATGGAGGGAAGAGGAGCCCCCATGATCCTCTCTGCTGTTGTCACCTTCTTCCAGTCTGAGGCGCTGCAGCCTCCACACCACACAGTGAGACAGCTGGTCAGAACGCTCTCTATGGTGCTTCTGGAGAAGATGGGGGGGGGGCAGATGGGCTCTCCTCATTCTCTGCAAGAAGTCCAAGCACTTCGGTGCCCTTTTGGCCAGTGAGGTGGTGTTTCCAGTCCAGGTGAGGGTGTCTGTGATGTGCACGTGGAGCGTGGTTAGGACGGTTCTTCCTGAAGTCCACCATGATCTCCTTGGTCTTCTCCACCTTCAGGATCAGGCTGTTATCTCTGCTCCACCAGCTGCTCCACCTCCTCTCTATAGTCCAGGTCGTTGTCATCACTGATGAGGCCCACCACCGTGGTGTCGTCTGCAAACTTCACCATGTGATTGGTGGTGAACCTGGGGACGCAGTCATGTGTCATCAGGGTGAACAGCAGTGGGCTCAGGACGCAGCCCTGAGGTGCGCCTCTGTGCTTAGACTGATGACATCAGAGGTGTTCTGTCTGACCCGGACTGACTATCTAATTAGGACAGTTCTTCTGTTATCTTTATAATGTACGTAACGTAATAAAGATTTGGGAATGAAATGGGAGCATACAGACAGACTGGATTACACAGTTACAGACAGACTGGATTACACAGTGACAGCGAGCTCTGTCACTGCATTCAGATTGTCCTTGATCTAGAACACTGTAATCTTAATACGTCTGGAGTCAGTGATGTCTCCTCATTTACAAACATGTATAATGTATTGATGTGACCTAAAAACTGTTTTGTAAAAGAGCAAAATTACAGACTTCCTGTCTGACAGGAAGCAGCAGGTGAAGCCGGGAAAACATGTCTGACTAACAGCTCATCAGCACTGGTTCCCCCAGGGCTGTTCCTTCTCCTCTTCTCCCTGTTCACCAACAGCTGCACCTCCAGTCATCAGTCTGTCAATCTTCTGAAGTTCGCCAACGACACCACTCTCATCGGAATTATCTCTGATGGTGACGAGTCTGCCTACAGGTGGGAGGTTGACCATCTGGCGACCCGGTGCAGGGAGAACAACCTGGAGCTGAACGCTCTAAAAACACTGGAGATGGTTGTGGACCTCAGGAAGAACTCAGCCCCAGCTACATCTAGATTCATCTGTAATTTGATCACACATAAGCATTGAGTCCTGCGTATTTCCTGTTTGGTTCCTTACCGGCTTGTTTTGTTTCTCTGACCGCCATTGTGGAAAACCACTCGTGAAGTTGGACCAACTAGAAGAGCAAGAACGCTGGAACCCTTTTTCCTCCTGGATCCCCGCTCTTTCTGGCCCTCATGCCCCTCCATTGCACAAACTTGCCTTCACTTCCTCACCGCCTCGGCCAAATCTAGACCCACAGCTAGTTCCTGATTGGCCCTCTGGCATTGTGGCGTGCGCAGACCACGCTTCTATATTGGGCATAAATCAAATTATCTGCAAAAAGCTCACTGCGACACACTGCTGCAGGAGGAGAACCAGGCCCTAACCCCTATATAGAGCACTTTATAGAGCACTTTGTAGGGGTTTTGCCATTTTCTGTGAGTTTCGAAGTGTTTATTTCCCACAATGCACCTTGAAAAGTAGTGTACATCCATACTCACGAGACAAGCTGATATATCCCAGAATGATTTGCAAGAACTCTCCTTGCAAAGCATCCTGGGATTTGTTTTGGGGGTGAGAAAGACTAAAGATGGTGCAGGCAGCGCGTGGGAAGCTGGAGTCAAGTGACCAGCAAGGAGTTAAAAGTAGTGGTTTCCTGTATAGTGCACTATTAAGTCCACTATATAGTCCCCACTCTATAGTGATTGACTGGTTAGGGATGACATTCACACAGCGCCCCTGTCTTAAAAAACATTGGAAATGAATTCAATTTATAATTAATTTAAAAAGTCCACCATGAGAGGGCTTGCAAAAGCCTCAATAAATTATAAGTATTTTCAATTAATGTTAATTGTGTAATTCCAATGTAATTTTTGCTGTCTTTTGGACAGGACTCCATTGAAAAAGAGTATGTTTCTCATTTAATGGGACTCTTAATTGTAAAATAAAGGTTAAATAAACAATAAGGAGGTATTTAAAAAAAGTATTTGTAGCAATGTCACTTTTTTTACACAGCAAAAAAAAAAAAATGAAAATAACACTTTAAAGGTGGTAGATTTCAGATTAAAGTAAATTTTGCTCTTTTAAAATTTTTTTTTACCCATATTAAGCAAAATTAAAACTTTTATTTCCCCAGTGGCCTTATTCCTCTTCTGTATCCGTGGTAACGGTTAGATGGAGGTAGAAAAGGAAAAAGTTTGATTGGATGAAGAAAAGAAAACATCCAGCAGATTTGGATGCAATGGAAAGACATTATAAATGGAGTGAAATAGTAGAACTTTGCCCCCCACCCCCCCAGTGGATAAACGCAGTCCTGGAAAAAAAAAATCACAACTTTGTGGTTTTTTTTTTCTTTTTTAATCATTTGTATTTTAAATGTAGTTAGAATTAGGAAGAAGCAGAAAGCGGTGGATGTTTAGCAGTGAAAGTGTGTTTTTAGCCGTGGAGGAGGTGTTTGGGGAGGGGGCCAGCCTGGAGGAGCTTCCTGCCGCCTAATGCTCCACTTTCCCCCCAACTTTAGAGCCGATCTTCGGGAAGGAGCAACAGTTTGGACGCGGAGCGGCTCCAGCCAGCGGAGGATTGGCAGGATTTATGCGAAAACCAGGCGAGAAAGGAGAAAAAGATGGTGGAAAAAGTGTGAGGAAAGAAGACGGAAGCACTTTTCTAAAAGGTAAAACTGCGGCTGTCCTCAGTTAGAGGAAGAAAAACCTCTAAGGTTTCCTCAGAGCTTTAGCTGCTGGCTTTGCTTCAAAACAAAGAAAGATCGAGAGGAAAGAACCCCCCCATCAGCCAACATAACAGACACAAACTGCTGCCATTGGCTTCAGTTTGGTTCCTTTAAGAGCTTTTTCAGGCCAGAAAACCGCTAAGAGCTTCTTTAGATGGAAAAAAATGCAAACAGCAGATTTTCCTGAGGGGGGGTTGGGGGCTGGTGTTCTGGTAGTTTACAGATTTTAAAGTCGGATCATATTGAAACATCTTGAGAAACTAGTTTAAACCCGTTTTCTCCTCTTCAGATCTTCATCATTACGGTTAGAAAATGAGTCATGATGGTCAGGGGCGGATTTAGGACATGTGGGGCCCTAGGCAAAGACAGGCAGGGGCCCCTCTGAATGGAGATGACAACACATAGAACAGACCCATTCTCCAGATAGAGAAATGTTTATAGAATAGACATCCATTATCTGTTCTAGGTTTTGTCCCTCTCTTCTTGTTGTTTTCCTCTCTACGTTTTGTACTCAGCTGACTTTTCATGCTGTCTCTAAAGGAATGAAAGATTTTTTCCAAGCACTAAGCTCACTTAGCTGATTGCTCCTTCCTGTGTTTCCAAAAAGGCCAAAGTAAATAACCCAGTCCTTCTTTTCACTGTAGACAAGCCATGATCTGCTTCTCTGTTCTCCATTTTTCATTTGGATGAAATAATAGCTGCATGAATCATGACAGCAGACAAGATAGAGGAGAGCAGGAGGCGGGGTTACCAATCTACTCGCTCTGGAGAGCAGAGTTCGCTGCTTTTAGATGTTGTCTCCAAAGTCTCCAGTAGCAGAAAAAAGTCTCTAGATTTGGCGCTAGGAGCTTTTTAGAAATCAAAGTGCTAGAGGGGTCTGAAAAGTGGCTAAATATAGCGACTAAAGCGCTAAGTTGGCAACACTGCTCTTTGCATGGTTTGTTTTCAAATGGTTTGCTGCTGTCTGTTTGGACCTTTCTGAACATGTGCAGCAAATGGACTGATCCAATATGGTGGACACTGAAGGGGGGGGGCTGAGACACACTTAATATTATCAGTGTTCTGATGACATTTTAGAGAAAGGATTTTTATCAAAAACATAATTAATGTGCACAATAAGGAATAGTTGCATTAACCAGACATGTAAACAGAGTTTTATGGGGCCCCCAGGAAGTTGGGGCCCTAGGCAGCTGCCTACTATTGTCTAATGGTAAGTCCCCCTCTGATGATAATCAACAAAAACTAAAAAGTAAAGTTGTTACTTTTTGCTGCCCCATTTGTTGATCATTTCTTTTTAAATATTTTCCATACGGTTGGTTGCTAGTTTGTGACTTCATCTTTCCTGTGTTTTTTTTGTTGTTTTATTTTTATCTTCTAATGGGTAATCGGTCACTCCCATCTTCTCTTGTTTTCTACAATGAAACGATGTATTACTTTAACTTGCGGCGGAAATTGTTGCCAGTTTTGTGAGCGATTCATTGTAATATGGCTAACAGCAGAGGTGTCAAGTAACAAAGTACAAGTACTTCATTTCTTTACTTTACTTAGTAGAAAGTCTATCTGTACTTTACTGAAGTAATTCTTTTCTAGACTTTTTACTTCTACTCCTTACATTTAAAAAATCGACTCATTAGTTTTGTTTCATTTAAGCTAATTTTCATTACGGCCTGTTGGTGTTTAAAAAAATAATTACTTTCATCCAGACATTTAATTTCTTTGTGGTTGAAAAACTATTTACCAAAATAAATCGTTTTTCAAGATGATACAAAGTTAAATGTGACACCGTTACTGTTCGTTATAAAACAAAAAAAGGAAGTCTAAGGAAGTTATCATCCAGAATTGTAGACAAATGTTCCTTTAATAGAGTAGAGCAGTAAAGCTTCTGTCCTCAACGTTTTTTTTCTAGATTATTTTGGTACCTTTACACATTAACTGGAGTAAAAAGCTGAAGTTGATGCTCTTACTTCTACAAAAGTGTTTTTAAACAGCAGGATTTATACTTCTACTGCAGTAATAAACATGAATACTTTGGACACATCTGCAGCAAAGTCAACCTTCTCTGACAGAGATCTCTTTCATATCAACTGTCTTGGATTATGAGGTCATAGTTATGAAGGTTTTTTTAATGCAGAGTATAGAATTGTAGGAAACTTAGAACTAATATCTCATATTTACTGACTAAAGCACTGTTCTTACTAAGTTATTCTGTGTGTGAGACTAATTTTATGAAGTAATTATTTTCATCCAATATTATAATTTTATTGCGATTTTCCTTTGCACTGAGAACAAACATATCGATGTTTTACTCCAGGGTTTAAGTTTTTTTCATGACCTTAAAGCCTGCATGTCCAGAGTCCAGCGCTGCAGGACTTTACTGTTACATTTTCATTCCTTCCACTATAATGCATAGATCTAGGCGCTAGCTGCAACTCTCTGGTTCCTTCTATGCCAAATCCTCCCTCTTCAAGTTGGCAATCCGACAACGACCCCGTCCGTGGAGGATCAGGAGAAATAACTATTTTTTTCCACTTTTACCCGATGTATTACAACATCCAGCTGCCATGCACGTGTGAATTGTCAGTTTCACTATAGCTCTGGTGAATTTCAATGGTGAAGTCCTCTGGAAATCTTCAATAATTGTTGTTGATTGCAGATGTGTCTAGAAGTTCCCATTGATTTTGCTTGTAAAGCGGGGAGAATGGCGCTAGGCTTACCGCACCGTGACGTCACTGCTGGAAGATGGCAGGAGGGAGGGGCTACTATATTTGGGCAAAAATGGCCTATTGCCTATATATATATATATATATATGTATATATATACATATACACTATATTGCCAAAAGTATTTGCTCACCTGCCTTGACTCACATATGAGCTTAAGTGACATCCCGTTCCTAATCCATAGGGTTCAATATGACGTCGGTCCACCCTTTGCAGCTAGAACAGCTTCAACTCTTCTGGGAAGGCTGTCCACAAGGTTTAGGAGTGTGTTTATGGGAATTTTTGACCATTCTTCCAGAAGCGCATTTGTGAGGTCGCACACTGATGTTGGACGAGAAGGCCTGGCTCTCAGTCTCCGCTCTAATTCATCCCAAAGGTGTTCTATCGGGTTGAGGTCAGGACTCTGTGCAGGCCAGTCAAGTTCATCCACACCAGACTCTGTCATCCATGTCTTTATGGACCTTGCTTTGTGCACTGGTGCACAGTCATGTTGGAAGAGGAAGGGGCCAGCTCCAAACTGTTCCCACAAAGTTGGGAGCATGGAATTGTCCAAAATGTCTTGGTATGCTGAAGCATTCAGAGTTCCTTTCACTGGAACTAAGGGGCCAAGCCCAGCTCCTGAAAAACAACCCCACACCATAATCCCCCCTTCACCAAACTTTACACTTGGCACAATGCAGTCAGACAAGTACCGTTCTCCTGGCAACCGCCAAACCCAGACCCGTCCATCAGATTGCCAGATGGAGAAGCGCGATTCGTCACTCCAGAGAACGCGTCTCCACTGCTCTAGAGTCCAGTGGCGGCGTGCTTTACACCACCGCATCCGACGCTTTGCATTGCACTTGGTGATGTATGGCTTGGATGCAGCTGCTCGCCCATGGAAACCCATTCCATGAAGCTCTCTGCGCACTGTTCTTGAGCTAATCTGAAGGCCACATGAAGTTTGGAGGTCTGTAGTGATTGACTCTGCAGAAAGTTGGCGACCTCTTCGCACTATGCGTGTCAGCATCCGCTGACCCCGCTCCGTCAGTTTACGTGGCCTACCACTTCGTGGCTGAGTTGCTGTCGTTCCCAAACACTTCCATTTTCTTATAATACAGCTGACAGTTGACTGTGGAATATTTAGGAGCGAGGAAATTTCACGACTGGATTTGTTGCACAGGTGGCATCCTATCACAGTTCCACGCTGGAATTCACTGAGCTCCTGAGAGCGACCCATTCTTTCACAAATGTTTGTAAAAACAGTCTGCATGCCTAGGTGCTTGAATTTATACACCTGTGGCCATGGAAGTGATTGGAACACCTGATTCCAATAATTTGGATGGGTGAGCAAATACTTTTGGCAATATAGTGTACCTATATATATATATATATATATATATATATATGTATATGTATAGGTATATATATATATATATATATATATATATAGATATATATATATATATATATATATATATATATATATATATATATATACATATACATATACCTATATATATATATATATATATATATATATATATATATATATATATATATATATATATATATATATATATATATATAGGTATATACACACATACAGTTACTGTTAGGGACCAACGATGGATGTAAAGGGGTTAATATCACCACCAATATTATTCAAATTTGACAGGTGCTGGTAAAACTAAGAGGAAGATTAGTGTGAGGATGAATACAGAGATCATTAGCAAGAAGCCCAGTTAAGACAACAACAACAATCTTCTACTCTATAACCACTAGCTAAATCTAATTAATTACATTTATTTAAAATCAAATATACTTTATTGATCTATAGAGAATTTAGATGTTGTAAGTCTGGCTGTAAGCAGGAAGGATTTACTGTCTTTTTCACAGCAGATCTGGAGAAGATTCTGACTGAAGACATTCTGGTGTTGTTTGACAGTCAGATTTACTTTTAGATTATTTAACTGTTTGTGATTTAAATGAGCATTTAGCCCGGGGCTTAATAATGCAGTTATTACCCGTCCAATCAAGCAGTTATTTTCTTATCTTTTTGTGTATTGGGAGATGGCTTGGCCAAAAATGTTCCGACTTGCTTGCACTGACCTGTTGTGTTTTTATGTTTCTGCATAAATCCACTCAAAGAAAAAAATCCTTTTTTAAACTAATCTGTAAAATCTCCCATGAATAAAGTAGGAAAAATGTTACTCAGCGAGTCGTCCTCCTGCAGGTTGCTTGTAGCGTTGCTGTAGTGTGATACACGGGGATAGAGGTGCAGTTCCAGCTGAACGGCTGCCAGACTCACCTGTCTACCACCTTGCCCCACCTGTTTCAGGGTGGGAAGAATGTAAGGAGCAGCACATGGAAAAACATTTCCCTTTTTGTTCGCGCTGGAGCTCGAAGTTGGTAGGCGCCTGATCTCTGGATAAACCTTTTGGAGCTCATTGGATCATAGTTTATAAAGACATTTTTATTTCTAACTAAAAAGGTAGGAGAACTTTAATGTTTTTTATGGGTTTTGCAAGAAAGCAATATAAAAAAACATGACTTTTAAGATCAAGTAGCAGGAGGCAGCCTTTGTTGTTTATCTAATCAGTTATGTTAGGACTTTACAGGCCGTATTAGGGTGAGTGTTTGCATATTTCTATCTTTACCTGTGAGCTGTGTTTCAAAGACAGATTTATGGCAGTTCTAGGTTATTATTTCTATGGGTTGGTTTAGATGAGAAGTTTGACATACTGATAATGGGCAGGTTTGGTAAGCTTAGCTGTTTAGGTCAAACACAAATGGACTAATGAATAAGAGTCAATAGAAAGTCCTAATTTGGTTAGAAAGGCAAATTTATGGTTGATTTATATGTTCATGAAAAGCATTTGTTTTATTACTTTATCCAAAAAGGATGAAAACAAATGTAAAAGTAATTGTAAAATGTAAGAGGATTTACCCGCCACAGTCTGGAGGAAGGTTTGTTTGGCTGTCTACTCCTAAAGAAAATGTTCCTTTTATAAACGGCCATTTTCCTTTTCTGTCTCATTTACTTACAGATGTTTCGGAAAAAGGCATCGTCATCTTTGAGGGTGACGAAGATAACTGGAAACTCCACATGTAACAGCATGATCTTTTCCTCTCTCTTACCTGGGTGTAAAGTCAGACATTCAGCTTTGTCAGTAGAAGCCACACAACCAAACCGTTATGCTCTATCCCTACTCCCATCATTTTACCCACAATGCTTTTTCGGATACTCAAATACTAACGTTTGTACATTTTAAGTACATGTTGGTTGGTTTCTCAGACATTGGTGAATGTTGAATTAAAATGTGTAAATCTGTCTCTAAAATGAGCATTTTCAATTTTCTTGACTCAACTTGGGAAATGTTTGAATTACTTTTGTTGTAACTTTATATCTGTGATCAATTTAGTTTGCTAATTCAAAATAATTAGCAATCCCATGTTCACAGAGGAACATGACAACTAGGTTTTTTTTTCTTTGAAGATTTATTGTCCCATTCATCAGTTGAAAATGCAGGATCGGTGACTCCTGAGGTCAATATTACATAAGAAGTGAACCGTAGAACTTCTGTAAAAGTTTAGCTTCAATCTATTAAGTATTAAAGATTTCGCTTTGGTATTTGGAATTTTAGATAACCAAAGGCCGTAAATATATGTACTTGTGAGTAATCTCCTGTGTGAAATGCATTCATACAGCTTAAGTCTTCCGCATGCGCAATAGAGGACGCAATGACATCACAAGCATTGTGTTTACAGAAGTAAAGATGGATGGTAGTGCTGGAGCACATCTAACGATCTTTCCAAACCTTACAAACCCAAAACTTCTCAATATGGTTTAACATAAATACTGCTCTCCGCTTCGTTCTCCCCCATGGTTGTTGTTTTTCTTGGCGCCTCTGCGTAGCAAGACGCAGAATAGTGACCTATATCGGCTACTAATGGCTTAAGGTCAGATGAATGTGGCCTGGACATTCAGACACAAGTCGCATTTGAAAAGATCAGGTTCGTATCGGATTCAGGACCACAGACCCAAGTGGCCTGGGTTGCATTGGAAAAAAATCTGATCTGTGTTGTTTAGACTGTCACGAAAAGATCAGATGTTGGTAAAAAAAAATCTGATTTGGGTCACTTCAGGCTGCTGAGTGAACGTAGCCAAAGTTGGATTCATCAAAAAAAAAAAAGAAAAAATGATTTCAATTTATTGCATGCAATAATAGAAAATACAGTTAGGGTATTGTTTTTTAATCCCGACCAATTTTGTTAATGTAATTTTTGAAATGTTCCTTTTCTCCATGTGCTATTTAATTTATAATGACACTTTTCAACCCAATCACTTCATCAGCCAATCGATGTTTGCGAGCCGCACAGCTATAAGCCACATTTTCACTACCGTGCCGAGATCGGTCTGAGCCCGGTAGCCGAGATAACTGTTGAGTGTAAATGGCACACACAACTGAACGGGACCGTGCCAGAGACAACCGAACTGCACTAACATGGTACTAGGTCATCAGAAGGGCTTGGCGTGGTTCAGTTCTGGCACAGTTCTCGGATGACAAAGAGCGCATGAGAAGACCGCGTCATCTATTTACAGTCAACCTCCGTAATCCGGAAACACAGACATTCATACCAGCTTTCCTACCGTGCCACACGATGTCCAGTGATGATTCTGCTTAGCAGTGTGATGAACCTCAATGTTCATCAGTGTTTCCTGTATCTGTGAGCCCTAATTAGACTATCGTTTGTCGTATCCACTTCCCTAAAGCTGACTTTTTAAAGTAAAGGCTGCTTTCTTTGCCTGACTCCACTAACTTCCTGAATGTTACGGGCGCTGCCATGTTGATTTGCTGGTTTACCTCTAGAGAACATTAGAACTGTTGATCACCACTAGGAGGCGAGGAAACCGTGCTAGGGTGGTGTGTTAATGGTCGTAATGAACAGAGCTCAGCGCGGTTAACTGATTCAAGCTAGGCACGGATCTGTTTTCAGAGGGTAGTGGGGCTCCCCAGGCAGTTTGTGGCGCTAACAACATCTGCTAGGTGAACGTTCTTAGTTGAGGATGTAACATTAATACTAGCACCTAATTCAGTCTATTAATGCCAGTAGGATAATAATAGGGATCATAATGGGCTCTATGCACAGCTCCACTACTTCCTGAATTTAATGCAGCTCCTTTGTTTCCTGTCTTTCATTACTGGACGAACTGATTAATCCAGGTGTGTCTGGCCAGTTACTTAGGTCATACACACCTGGATTAATCAGTGCATCCAATCATGAAAGACAGGAAACAAAGGAGCTGCATTAAATTCAGGAAGTAGTGGAGCTGTGCATAGAGCCTATTGCTTATAAAGATGTTACCATCAAGGACACCGTTGTTGATAGCCTAAGAGCCATTGTACACCATGTCCGTATGGAAAATATACAAGAGGAACTGTCCTCAGGTGACGGTTGATCAGATCTCAGAATCCAGCACTCCAAAGTTTTTTGTATGTGCCACAACCATTGGGGGTTGTCGCTAATATGTTTTTTTTTGTTACCGAGCACAATTCAGGCTGGTGGAAGAACAGCTAAAGTACCGTATTTTCACGACTATAAGGCGCACTTAAACATCTTTTTTTTCCCTCAAAATGTGCGGTGCGCCCTATGGTGCGGTGCGCCTTATGTGTGTTGTAACTGCGACTTTTGAGACCACCTCATTGAGGAGATGATGAAAGAGTGGCTGAATGTAAGGAGACCAGGTGTTTTTTTTCCACCCCTCACCATCGCTGTTAATCTGTAACTCCATGCGTGCCCATCTCACAGCTCATGTGAAAAACATGGGGAAACAAATTAACCCTGTGCTCGCTGTTCAACCGCTCGACATCGGTGTGAACCGGACCCAGCAGGTGCAACAGAAGCAGCGAGTTTACATGCAAAGTCAATGGTTGACGCGCATATAGGTGCAGCAAAAGGTCCTGCAGCACGTTTTGGTGCAGCACGTCGGGAGCGTTTAAGCATCTGACGCACCGCCAACGCGCTGCTGCTGCTCAGATGGAAAAATTGAAGTTTTGCTGCTGGACGCGCCGCATCAACCAATCAGAGAAGCTGATCTGGGAGCTGCCAGCGAGACAGACAGCGCTCTGATGACATGATATTAACGCAAATGAAAAAGGCTGGATGAATGAGGAGATGATGAAAGGCAGGTGTATGTGAGGAGACCAGGTGCTTTTTTCCACGCATCACCATCGCTGCGTGCCCATCTCACAGCCGATGTGAAAAAAAGATGAATCAAATGAACGCTGTGCTCGCCGTTATCTCGGGGGTCTGACAAAGGAACTTCAACCGCTTGACATCGGTGTGGAGCGGCCGTTCACAGTAAGGCTGCGAGCGGCGTGGGAGCGATGGATGACAGACTGAGACCACAGTTTCAGGATAAGTGGAAGGCAGCGCCGTGCAAGTTACGCCACCGTTTGCGGATGGATTGTAGATGGACTGTGTCTGCTGGCTCTGTTGTTCAAGCTTTCGCAAAAGCCGGCATTATTTCTGAGGAGCTGCGCTGCACGGAAAGTGACTCTGACAGCGAAGAAGGGGAAACTGGCATGTCTGATTTAGCGCAGCTGTTTTATTCAGAGGAATGCTGAGGATAACAGAGGATGATGACTTTGATGGGTTTGATTAATACTTTGTAATAAATACATGAATAAAGCACAATCATACTCAGGTTTGCTCCCGCTCTATTTTTCTACCTGAAAACTTAATTCAACAGCAGCCTCTGGGCGGGTCTCCTCCTCTTCAGCGCGGTGGCTGGCAGGTGTTTTTTCATCTAAATAATCTAAATCTTGCAGCTATATTTGCTGTGATCAGTTGGAATAAAGTAGTTTTAATATGTTTTTAAGTGAGAAAGTCCACCTGAAAACTTAATAATTGCAGTCAGTTCATCCAGATTATCTATTTCTGTCGGAGGCGCTCAGACCCCCACATACCAGCGGTGCACCGACAGTAGAAATCCTTTCGTTCACCGCGGCTGCTGGCAGGTGTTTTTCATCTAAATAATTTTAGCTGCAGGCACCAGGATACCGGTAATAAAAGCGAACATATTCCGTCGGCAGGTTTCAGGATTGTAAGTTAATTTAGGAGTGACCACAGCGCTGTGTCATCTGCAATGTGTCTGTCTCACGGCCAGCTGCCAGGTTTGATTAATACTTTGTAATAAATACATGAATAAAGCACAGTCATACTCAGTTTTGCCCCCGCTGTATTTTTAAATACGCAGTAGAGGTATTTAAAGGTAGTAGAGGACATGTACCTGTATATAAAAAACGCGCCCTATAGTCCGGTGCGCCTTATGTGTGTGTTAAATACAGAAATGGGACACATAACTGAGAGTGCGCCTTTTAGTCCGGTGCGCCTTATGGTCGTGAAAATACGGTAATCTGGAATTCAACATGTCAACATTCATATAGTGCACACCCTGGTTTATCAGATCTTTAGGGTCCGGTAGTATCCTCCCCAGAAAAAGTTAAAATTTAGACTCTCTGAAATCCAATTTCCTGCAGTTTGAGGTGAATGCAGCTAACCTTCAGTCTTTGTTCCAACACTACTTTTGTCCTGATTATGGGAAGTATGTGTGTTTGACTAGAGGTGGAAATTTCATTAGGAAGACATGAGATCATAGTTGGGTACAATGTTATGTTTCATAGGTTAATTCAAATAATCACAAAGTGTAATGCTATGTTCACACCCCGATTGCGTCTGCTCGGACCCCCACATACCGCTGGCGTGCTGTCAATGGGAATCCCAAGCAGCAGCTGCCTCAGACCTGGTCGCCTCTTGGGGGTAGATGTTAGCATTTTTCAGGACTGTAGTCACCAGGATAATAAAAGCGAACATATTTTGCCCGCAGGTTCTACTTTTTAAGTTAATTTAGGCGTTAAACTGTTTCAGAGGAGTGATCATAGCGCTCTGCATCAGCAGTGCTGTGTCTGACTCCCTGCCAGCTCCCAGATCAGCTTCTCGGATTGGATGACGTGACGCATTGAGCAACAGAAATTCTATATTTCCAACTCCAGCATCAGCTGCATGGGAAATTTTTAACATTTCAGATAAGTTTCTGGAGGAAAATTAGGGTATACCATAACGGTACATCCCTAAAACAAGGTGTACAAAGTAGGCACATACGTATTGCTAGTTAAAAGCCAGAGAGCCTTATTCAGATGTTCATAGTATTAACTGACTAATTGATTGTAACTCTTTATGGCCTAGCCACTGGCTTTAAACTTGTCCCGCCATGTCCTTGTTTCTGAGAGGTGTTAAGTAATGCAGGGTGATTAAAACTATAAACAATTTGCTTTGCTAGAAGCAGCAAGCAGTAGATTCTGTAAGAACCAGCCTCCAGCTGTCCAAAGTGTTCTTGTTACATAGCAGGTGTAAGCTCTAAATCTGGCAAACTGCTAAAGGGCAAGACCACTTTTGTATTTATTCATTTTTTTGTCATCTTGACCATCTCTAATCTGTTTTGTTTAAAAACTATGAGATTTAGTTTCTGAAGCTTGACTAAATTATTGTTGACTGCAAGGAGATTCTTTAATTAATGCGGTTTGTTAAGGTTTATCACAGGGTCTCTACAGGTACGTTCACACTAAGAGTGAAACTGGCAAACATTTTGCCAGTTCCACCTGCTTATGCTCGCCTTAAATTTTGCCTGGCCTTTGAAAATATTTTGCACAGTCATCAGATCTGCTGGCTGTTGGTTCCCCTCACCATGGAGTACAGGGATTATACAGAGTGAGTCGCAATGCTATTTATTTATTTATTTTCTTACTTTTGAAAGCCTAACCAAGCTGTAGGCATCTTTGGGTGCACCAGATTCCCAGAGACGGAACCAATACCAGCACCCCTTGTAGAGGCTATGTCTGGATAATCCAGTTCAGGGCTCTTTTATCATGCGATTGGGGACAAATCACCTGCACAACAGAGGAAAGGTGAGATGTTGTTCTGGAGCTCGGACAAGAGCAGCGAGAAAACAGAACATCAGCAGAGAGAGAACCAGAACCCTGAAGAGGCCACCGGCCAGGAACTACAGTAGGACATCAGACAAGCTCGCTTGTTGGACAGAGCGCTAATGCAGGGGAGAAAAGGCAATGGCTGGCTGGTGTCTGGGCTGGAGGTAGGATGAAGAAACAGTCCTCTTAGGGCTAAATTAAAAAGGCTTTTTTAAAAAGCCACCGACAGACCTCTTATCAGCATTCTCTACTTCATCCTTTTTTTTTTTTTTTTACATTTTAACATCTCAGCTGTCTCTTTCACTGTGAGTCACAGTCACATCTAGCTCCTGATTGGATTGAGATGCAAATGTTAAAAAAAAAAAGTTCAACTCTAGAAAATTTCACTTCACATACTACAGGAAGGGAAGCAATCCAAATTCTCTTGAAGGCCATTTTCAAATAGAATAGAATAGAAAATCCCTTTATTGTCCCGCAATGGAGATAATGTGGTGTTTACAGCAGCTAAAGATTGTTGCGAGTGGTCACATAAATATGGACCTTACAAAATGTACAAAAATAACAGATAAAGTGACACAGTTAAAAAAGTAAACAAATAAAATACTGTACTATACAGTGTTTTTACAATATAAAAACTACACCTGGAGGAAAAAAATGCTTTATTTAAAATTGATAATACCTGACTAAGAAGAAGGCTGCATGAATTACTAGTAGCCTGTCTATAAACTGTTCATGGTGCCTGTTTTAGGTCGCTGAGGATGTGTGCTGGACATGACCACATACTCCTAACTCGGCCAATAAAATTCCTGCTTGAGATTCAGCTCCTTCGTGTGCAAAGTGAAGGAGAGCTTGTGGTGTTACCATAAACATATACTTGAATCAGTAAAACTTTAGAAATCTTCTGTGACACTTTTCGTAAACTCAGCCTGATACCACATCCTATGAACTAAGCAGGTTTCTAAACTTTACATTACTATGGCCAGCATGCAGCTTTTTCATTTGCAATACTGTTACAATGTCCTCAAATGTCTAAGAACTAATTTTTGTACTGAGATTTTTAGAAATTGATAATAAAAGTGACCAAACTTGATTTAACTTTCCAGGTTCTGATGAAATGTCAAACTTCGGTATACTTTTAAAGTACGATTCTTTGTACTGGTGTTACTAAGGTTAATACAAAGGGAGGAAACCCCACAACTGTTTAACTGTATCTTTGTATTTGTACTGTCAGATAACAACCATATAAATAACACTATGAAAAACAAATTTAGATGTTGTTAAAACATTTGAAGTGGGTGTGTCGCCACACAGAAAGGTAGAAAGAGTTCAGCTACCTTGCAGATTCATGCCTGCAAGTAGAAATAAACACTTTTTCATGCAATGGTTAAGGGCTGGTTATCCTCCCGCAGCAGTGTGTCGCAGTGAGCTTGTCACAGGTGTGACGCAGATATTTTTGATTTATGCCCAACTATGAAGTGTGGTCTGTTATTCCATACCACAAGACAAGAGGGCCAATCAGGAACTATCTGTGGGGCAAGTCTGTCCGACAACGGAGGGACATGAGAGCGAACAAAAGCGGGGATCCAGGTGGAAAAAGGGTCCCAGCTTTTTCGCGCACCTCGCTTTACTAGCCGGTAAGGCATAGTGTAGAGCGGATGTAGAATTGACCGATCAGAAGCCTCCTGTCTGCGGTCACCTACAATTTTTACGAGGTGCATCAGAGTGTCTGCCGTTGGGGGGGCATATTGGCGCCAACTGCGTCACACAAGCAGACGACCTGGTTTCTGAGCATAAACCAGGCTTTTCAGTGAAGTCCTGTAACAATGTACTCTGGGCAAGAAATCTCTGAAAAGCCTGAGGTGAAACATTTACAAGCTTGGGGTTAACGCAAAGGAAAACCGAAATAAAATGGCAATCGCAGTTTTGGTGAAAAGTGATTGCAGTTTCGATTTTTGGCAAAATAGTTCAGCCCTACTCAAGAATCCTCTAACCTTTTCATAAAGTTACTGATTTTTATTCTACATGTTCTTTTCTCCTGTTTGTCTTTGAATATAGACAGGGGGCGTAGTTTGTCCTTCCACGAGGTCCGTTGCCAGCGGGAGATGGAGATGAGGGGCACAACTGAAGAGCCTTCTAATAACAGCGTATCAGGTGGTGGGAATACAGTCCTCCATCGTCTCTTGCAAGAACAGATGAATCGCAACTATGTGCTCCAACAACAGCAACAATCTGGAGGAGGGGTGGGTGGAGCAGCAGCGGGAGGAGGGGGTGGAAGTGGTTATTCGGTACCAGGACAGGCAAGCTGTGACGATCATTCGGGGAGTGCTCAAATTGCACGTCAAGAGCCCCAGGGACAGGAGCTTCAGACGGACAGTGGCCTGGAGAAGGTTGGCTCTCTCAGAGTTGGAGGGCATGGGGGAGGTAGTGGAGGTGGGGGGTGTATAGGCTCTTGTGGAGATGCAGGGGGTAGTGGAGTAGGTGGGATCCCCCAAGGACAGTGCCCAAACCTAGAAGATCTGCCCACATATGAAGAGGCCAAAGTGCAGTCACAATACTTTCAACGCCACAGTTCTCCTCAGCAGCAGCAGAGCAGCCAGGCCCAGCAGCCGTTGGGTCCTACTTTTTATGTCCCCGGTTTAAGCGGAACCAAAGTTCGCACCGAAGGTCGCCCAACTCTTCAGCGTGTCAGCGGTACAGGGAAGATTCACCAAGACGATGGACTCAAAGATCTAAAGCAAGGACATGTGCGTTCTCTCAGTGAGCGACTGATGCAGCTCTCATTGGCTACCAGTGGAGTGAAGGCCCATGCTCCTGTAAGCAGCACGCCACTCTCACCGCAGCTACCACAGTCCGGACCGCCTGGAGACTGCTACAAGCCACAGCATCGTGGCCCACCCCCAGACTATCCCTTTAAAGGAATGTGTTCTCCGGGCGGTAATCCAGAATCTGGAGGACACTATTATCAGGAGCGTAGAGAAAGGGATTACTCAAGGGAGGTTCCGACTGTTCGATATCAGCCTCCCCCGGAATATGGCTCTTTCAGGTAAGGACCATACAAACACCCACATGCATGTTGTGTCACACTATCCTTGTATTAACATTACACTGACTTCCAATCATTTTCCACCCATTTTTAATGGCCTAAACCTAACCCAAACTCATACCGTAGTCTTAAACCTAAGACCTTCCCTAAGACCTTCCCTCATGGAGACCAGAGGTTGGTCCTCACAGGTACCTTCAAGCAGAGTTGAGTTTTCTTCTTTTTTCTGAACAAGTAGAAGAAATTTGAAAAAAGTTTTTTTGTGTTTTTTTTTTTTTTTTTCCATTTCTTCCAGAAGAAAATGGAAGAAAGTCTTTGTAATATATCTTAAACTGGGATAGTTCCATTGAAAAGTCTTGCTATAACCACCAGGCTACACAAGGAGATATATTTATGAGAATGCACACAGTGACAATTAAGAATCTATATAATTTATTAAGTGTATATGTAATCCAAATCCAAATGAATGAATAGCCATTGGTCACAAATATATAACCTAACAGCCTTGTTGAAACACTGCTTTTACACATAAAGAACAGCAGCAATATAGCAGCAAAATACAGTTTAGTAGTCCAGCTCCCTCTGGCCACTTACCATTCGGAAACACAATACAAGTTGTGAAGCCTTTGCCACAACAATCTTCAAGATGGTTGATAAAAAGTTAAATAATAGCCAATATGGATGATAATATGTAGGGCCTCAAGAAGAGATCTGTTTCTTAAGGAGGAACTTTGTTTATTTTTACATTGGCCCTTGATTTTCCGTTATTCCATCATGTTCTACTCACCCATATTAGTTTAGTGTCATTTGGAGCCGTTCTGAAGATATTCTGTTAGGTTATATCCATTTAACGTCTTCCTATGGGCAACGACTGAAGGCACAAACTAAACTGTTCATCATTTATTCTATATGGTACGCCAGCATTCAGAACATGGAGGCCAATCACTGTCCACCATACATCCACGGTTATATTTTTTATATTTATATTTTTTTAAAACAAAGCAGTGCGTGTATGACATCATCCACGCGCTGGACTGGAGTTGTGACAGGCAGCCCGGGCCACAGGCGGCTACGCTCTACCCCTGATATGAATTTGGCTAGCTAATCTGAATCGTTCAATTCAACTTGGAGAGCGAGAATAACCTTGGTAGCAGCACTAGACATCTTCCAGGCATGTCAGGAAAACTAGCAGCAGTTAAATGGACAGGATGAATAAACGGTAGGCGGCGCACGCGGATGACGTCATACACGCGCCACTTTGTTTTTAAAAGATATGTAAAAATATAAAAAATATGACCGTGGATGTCAGGGGGACAGTGATTGGCCTACATGTTCTGAATGCTGGCGTACCATAAAGAATAAATGATGAACAGTTTAGTTTGTGCCTTCAACTCGTTGCCCATAGGAAGACGTTACTGGATATAACCTAATGGAATATCTTGAGAATGGCTCCAAATGACACAAGCGATAAACTGGAACTATATATCTACATATTTATATATATATATAGATATATATATATATATATATCTATATATATATATATATATATATATATGTGTATGAAGTGAAATGAAAGCATATTATGATTCTTTCTAATCAGATAAATACATTTTTATGTAATTTTATGTAATTCTGTGAACAGCAGAGCAGGGCACTTCCAGATGTGTTGCTTGCCTGAAATACGGTAATGAAGATCTTCCTTCTTTTAAATTTAAATAATCCAATTCCATTGGCATATTGTCGTAACTGCTCAAATAAAGCTAAAATACAGTTATTTCCTAAAACAAGGTATTTAGTCACTCAACACAACAAGTATTTTGTTACCTTAAAAGAAAATAGGCCCCTACATATGTTGGTGCATAGATTTCTTTAAAGGCATTCGCCCTGTAATATTTACACTTTAAAATGTGGCATACTTGGATTGTTCAGACATGAAGGCAATTGTTGCCATAGAAGAAATTGTTTTAAATATAATTACAGATTTCTAAAAGCTTTTTCTAGCCTAAAGAAGAGATTTGGCACAGGCGGTATTCATGTCAGAACCGGTACGCTAAGTCCAGATGAACTAATGCTTGCTTAGCAGTTTGTTTAAAATGAGATTCTGGTTAAAGTCAATGAAGTCATTTAGCATTCAAAATGAGGGAAGTCAGTTGAACATGTTTCTCAATAGCAATGACGAGGACAGATCCTGTTGGGCTGGTTTCACTATAGACATTACCATTTAGCTTTAAGGAGAGTCTAACAGTAATGAATTCCTCACAATTTTATTCATCAGGACAAGATGTGACACGACACGCTTCTGTCGAGTAAAATAAAGGCACCGATGTCTGACGCTGTAATGTTCCTCCTAAAAACAACTTTATGTGGTTCAGATAACATCCTACTGCATATCTTTGTATTTAAGGGATTATTATTTCTAATGTTTCATGTATGAAGGTTGAAAATTGTAGTAGATATACCAACCATTACGATTTTATCCTAATATTTATGATTTGGTGTTGCATATAACGAAATTACAATTTATTATCATTTTACACGTTCACGTTTCTCTGCTGTCTCCAGCTGCTCATGTCTAAGCCCCATAGCAGGTTCAGTCAGCTAAAAAATCTGACCCTTTTCTACTCTCTCTGCTTCAATGCTGAGCAATATGAGAAAAAAACCAAATATCACAATATTAACTATTTTATTTCACAATAATGATATATATCATAATATGTTTGACAAAAAAATTTAACTTTATTTTGAAGAGACATTTACAGAACTGTCACAAATGAGAAAACTCAGTCGTAGTGCAGCAATATTTATGCATCAGATGGTAACAGATGAGGCGGAGGTAGCGCTATAATGGCCTTCACATTTTTCTCTAAACCCTTCTGGTACTTCAATTAAATTACTCCGTTGTCTTCGCCTGGCTATGGTTTTTATTTTTGCAACTTCCTCCCGCTGTTTCACAACTTGCTTTACCTCACACTTTTTGGATCAATATGTATTCTTCTTTGTGGTTCTTCTTTAATTCAGTTTTTCAATTCAGTTTATTTCTATAGCGCCAATTCACAGCACGTCATCTCGGATCACTCATGCTAGCAGTAGTGACAGCAACCCTAGCCAGAACTGGTGAAAAAGAGTCAGAAAGATGAGGAGGGGAAAAATGTCAGTGTCCTCCACCTGTAAAACCATTCCTGTTTTGATGGTTGTCTCCTTGTTGCCCCTCTAGATCACCTGTTGTAAATTTTATCAACACCAAAGCAGCTGAAACTGATTAACAACCCCCTCTGCTGATTACCTGACCAAATCAACATCCCAGAAGTTTAATTAATTTGATGTTATACTCTGATTACAAAGTGTTCCTTTAATTTTTTTGAGTAGTGTGTATATATATACATACACTCACCGGCCACTTTATTAGGTACACCTGTCCAACTGCTCGTTAACACTTAATTTCTAAGCAGCCAATCACATGGCGGCAACTCAGTGCATTTAGGCATGTAGACATGGTCAAGACAATCTCCTGCAGTTCAAACCGAGCATCAGTATGGGGAAGAAAGGTGATTTGAGTGACTTTGAAGGTGGCATGATTGTTGGTGCCAGAAGGGCTGGTCTGAGTATTTCAGAAACTGCTGCTCTACTGGGATTTTCACGCACAACCATCCCTAGGGTTTACAGAGAATGGTCCGTAAAAGAAAAAACATCCAGTGAGCGGCAGTTCTGTGGGCGGAAATGCCTTGTTGATGCCAGAGGTCAGAGGAGAATGGCCAGACTGGTTTGAGCTGATAGAAGGGCAACAGTGACTCAAATAACCACCCGTTACAACCAAGGTGGGCAGAAGAGCATCTCTGAACGCACAGTACGTGGAACTTTGAGGCAGATGGGCTACAGCAGCAGAAGACCACACCGGGTGCCACTCCTTTCAGCTAAGAACAGGAAACTGAGGCTACAATTTGCACAAGCTCATCGAAATTGGACAATAGAAGATTGGAAAAACGTTGCCTGGTCTGATGAGTCTCGATTTCTGCTGCGACATTCGGATGGTAGGGTCAGAATTTGGCGTCTACAACATGAAAGCATGGATCCATCCTGCCTTGTATCAACGGTTCAGGCTGGTGGTGGTGGTGTCATGGTGTGGGGAATATTTTCTTTGCACTCTTTGGGCCCCTTGGTACCAATTGAGCATCGTTGCAACGCCACAGCCTACCTGAGTATTGTTGCTGACCATGTCCATCCCTTTATGACCACAATGTGCCCAACTTCTGATGGCTACTTTCAGCAGGATAATGCGCCATGTCATAAAGCTGGAATCATCTCAGACTGGTTTCTTAAACATGACAATGAGTTCACTGTACTCAAATGGCCTCCACAGTCACCAGATCTCAATCCAATAGAGCATCTTTGGGATGTGGTGGAACGGGAGATTCGCATCATGGATGTGCAGCCGACAAATCTGCGGCAACTGTGTGATGCCATCATGTCAATATGGACCAAACTCCCTGAGGAATGCTTCCAGCACCTTGTTGAATCTATGCCACCAAGAATTGAGGCAGTTCTGAAGGCAAAAGGGGGTCCAACCCGTTACTAGCATGGGGTACCTAATAAAGTGGCCGGTGAGTGTATATAATGTGTAGTAATTGCTCTCAAATATAAATATATTCATAGCAATAGTTTGTTTCTCTGTCACCTTTTTGTCTCTCCTGAGTTGTCCAGGATGTGGGAGTGGTTGCCTAGTTTTAGGATGCAGAGCTTGGAATCCAGAGGTTCTGAGTTTGAGCTCCACTCCCACAGCATTTTGGGTCCCTGAGCAAGACCCTTAACCCCACTCTGCTCCCCAGGCGCCACACAATGGCAGCCCACTGCTCCCCAAGGGGATGGGTTAAATACAGAGATAAATTTCTCCAATGTTAGATCAATAAAGTTCAATTAATATTATTAATAACTACAGTATTTATCTTTTTCTCCCTTTTATTTGTAGCTAAGCTTTCTTTGAGTTGACATGGGTCTCCATCAGTCTGTGCTTTGTCCTTCTGTGCATCTCAGATCTAGCTGAAAAAAAATCACTTATCAATTTTCTTTATGTCCAAAAATGTTTTATTATTCAGTATAAAGCAAAAGGCAGCAAACAGTGTGACCAAACAGCTCATCTCTCCTCAGATCCAGTAAGGATGGGTCAGTTCACTACCAGAGATCCCTCAACCAGCACAGTCCCACCTCCTCTGTCACGTCCATTGGATCTCTGTCTCGTGCCCAGTCCTCCACTCTCAGCAGCATGCTTTCTGCCTCGCACTCCTCACACCCGTCCATTCCTCACCAGCCACCTGCAAGCCAGGGAGAGGGTTACCCGATGATGGCGTCCCGCGGTCCACAGGGCGCAGGCTATCATCAAGCAGCAGAACCTTTTCCCCAGGGACCCGTCCATCAGACAGCTCAAAGGGGTCATGGCTTTCCCTCTGATTCTTATGGCTCCAGTCCAAGGTTGCACCACCATCAGCAACACAATCAGTGTCAACAGCAGCAGCAGCACCAGGGACCTCCACAGGCCCAGCTGTCTCTGCAGACAGGACATTTCCCCCAGCAGCACTCCTACTTACAGCTCCAGGGGGAGCCTTTTGCAGTGATGGCGCGGGCCCAGCAGATGGTCGATGTTCTAACAGAGGAGAACAGGACTCTGAGACAGGAGATGGAGGCTTGTCGTGAGAAGGTCAGCAGGCTGCACAAGGTAAGTCCAAACACATCAGGTCGGTGTGCAGACTTCATTAATAAGGGCTGATTAAAAACACGGTGGTGAACATTCGCCTCCCTGTGAACCTATAAACACAAGCTGTTGGTATCCAGATAGATTATGGAGCAACATGTATGAATTGGCATCAGATCCCTTTGTCAATATTTTGTAGAAACACTTTTCCCTAGAATCAGTTCAGTTTATTTCTATAGCTCCAATTCACATCATGTCATCTCAGGTCACCTTACAGTTCACCAGATCATCCAGTCAGATTGATTCAAAGTTTTCTATCTAAGGAAAACCAGCTGATTGCATCGACTCATTGCCTCTTCAGCAATCCCTCACACTAAGCATGCTTGTAGCGACAGTGGAGAGGAAAAACTCCCTTTGAACAGGAAGAAACCTCTAGCAGAACCAGGCTCAGTGTGAGCGGCCATCTGCTGAGGCCCACTGGGGTTCAAGGAGACAGAAGCAGACGTAGAAAAAGAAACATAGATACAAAAGGCATCTGCCAACTAGCTCCACAGGTGGCCCCATCCAGGAAACACACAGACGAGCTCCGAGCCAGCTCCCATGTCAGAGGATGAAGAGAGCACATCCAGTTAGTCACAGTCAGAGAAACAGGACTACACTGGAAAACAGGCCAAGCTCCAACATCTAATAGATCAAAGCTGCAGGTTTCTGGGGAGCATGAAGAAAAACTTCAAATCAAGCATATGTGACGCTAAAGAGGAAGAACCTTGATTGAAAGGGATGCAGGTTCTGTTTCATGATCCAATGTGGGAAAAGATTCTGTTTGCAATACTTTTGCAAGTTACCCTGATGCAGTATTGCCAACTTAGCACTTTTGTCGCTAAATGTAGCACCTTTTCAGACCTCTAGCTCCTTTATTTAAAAAAGGCGCCTAGCACCAAATCTAGCAGCTTTTTTTCCCGTGTAAATGGAGACCACCCCCCCTCCCTCTCCCTCTCTCTCTCTCTCTCTCTCTGTCCGCTGTCAGCATGCAGAGCAGCTGCCTGCGCTGCAGCAGAGAAAATAAACCTTTCCATTATGAAGCAAAGCTGCTGCTAATCCTGGCATAGACTGCAAAGAACAATCATGAACATAATTTTTAACTGACATTTAGTTTCACATAAAATAACTTCATATTTCGATCTACAGCCTCATTCTCTCCCCTTCTGCTCCTTCAAACACTGCGTGTCTTTGCACTGCAGCTACTTTCTCTTTTGTTTTTCTGCTAGATGGCAAACAGCTAACGGTGCTTTTATGTCACCAACTGCTATGTAGTGTGGAACTAAATGGCCTAATTATATATTTTTTCTTTACTTGTTTCTGTAAAAGTCTTTAAATCCCCACGTTTCTTCCTCCCTGCTGTCCTATGTCTCTGCTATGAGTATTAGGGCCAGGCTACAGATAATTTCTTTTAATACTTTTTTAGAACAAAGTTGCAATATTATGAGTATAAAGTCATAATATTACCAGAGTAAAATCGTAACATTACGAGAATAAAACCGTACATTATGAGAATAGTCATAAAATTACGAGAATGAAATTATCACACCACAACCTGTTTTAGACAGAAAGTTTGGAGCTCCGCCCAGCAGATGACGGCCGACCAGCTCCACCAATCAGCAACCAGAGTCCACTTTGACATCCTGCCCAGTTTGATGCTGCTGCTAAAAGATTTCCTGATTTGTGAAACCGTTGCAAAATAATAACTTTCACTTGATGCTCCACATTCCTCATTTTATGGAAGAATGAGCTTCTTGTAAGAGTTGTCATGTCATCATTGGCAAACTGATTTTATAGGCTTTTTGAGAAAAACTATTCCGATGAATCTATGTTTAAGGACGTTGAGTTTTTCCCCAATGGAAGCTTTTCCAAATAAGCGTCTGATACTGAGCCACCAGAGGCGGTTCCTTATGTCCGACAAGTGGAGGCTCTATTTTCAAGTGTTGCAGTTGAAGGTTTTACTGATGGCAGAAAACCAGTGATCTGTTTAGTCCTGATGCTCTTCACTGCAGTTTCCACAGTATGAGATAATGATGAGAATCAGAGACAATTGGTGAACCACACAGTGAAATTATTTAACCATTTTTGGCATCTTTTTAATCATATTTAGCTACTTCAAGATAACTGTTTTATGTCCCACCATGCTAACATGGCCAAATCGTGTTAAAGTACATAAATATGATTAATGCTACGTTCACACCACGCGCGCTTTGAGCAGTAAAAAAGCATCTGCTGCTTCTTTTTGATGCTTGTCCACATTAAGGTCAGTAGCTCCTCAAGGCATCTTTGAATCTCCTGAAATGGAAAATCCTGGATCCAGTCAAGCTGTACTGGATGTGCTGTGAAGCCTTTATTTAGCCAAATTACACGGAAGTTCAGGAACATTCAGGAACATTCAGGTTCTGCTGGAAAGATCTGGATCTGGAACGTTCCTCATTCAGTAGCAGATATTTCCTAAGATAGGTCGGATGATTTAACTCCATGTGTGGGTTTAAATTTGAAGTGGACGTTGCTGATGTACAGACTTGTTTTTTTATTTCCAGTGTTTTTTTTTCTGTCCCAGTCTTCCATTGATAGTTGATCAAACTCTGCCATCAGAAATACCCTGCAGATGAGTCTGAGTGGAGCAGACTAGTACTAGCAGCAGACATGCTGCTCTGTCAGGCTGTTTACTGTAATAAATGCCATAAAACTTGAAGTTTTCTAATGAAATGTGTCGCTATCAATTGAACGCCAACGTGAGCTGTGTGTCGCTCATTGTTCTCAGAGTGAACGTCGCTCTTGTTCACGATCATTACTTCAAAACAGTTCAACATTCACTAAAAATATGAACACATTCAGTGAAAGCCGTTGATTGAACACATTAATGCCCAGCACACAAACTGGATGAGAGGTTGCTTTTGCTTCTGTTGCCCACTCTGCTTGCAGTACTTTGTTTTACTTAAGTTTAATAAAGAAGAATTCATGTATAGAATATTTACCACATGTGTTTGATAACTGGTATAATGTGAGTACCGGTATATAGCATTAAATGAATCATATACTGAGTGTTTTGCTTGTTTATAGTTGGAAACAGAGATACAGCTGGTGTCAGAGGCCTATGAAAATCTGGCCAAGTCGTCCTCTAAGAGGGAAGCCTTGGAGAAAACCATGAGGAACAAGTTGGAGCTGCAGGTTCGCCGACTGCATGACTTCAACAGAGACCTGCGAGGTGAGAGCTAGGAGAAGGATTTTAAAATCCAAACACATGGATGCCAGTCTAGGTACCGGGTGTCATTAAGTAAGGGAAAATCTGGTAAAGTTCATATATTAGACTGAATGCTGTGTAAAATTGGTTATTTTATTTATATATATATAAAAAAACATGTAAGAACTGTAAATATGCAGTCATATGTTTACATTACTATTTTTTTATATGTCTATTACTGTTTTCAAGGCTGCACTTTAAAAAAGGAAATTGTCTAGAACTGTTTTAAACGAAATTTCTTTTTTTTTTTACGCTCGTGTATACGAAAAAACTAAATAAATCTAAGTCTCTAATATCGATAGCAAAACCTGGATATTTATAGGTGAGGATGTTTCCATCATAAACCTGCCTAAACACAGTCGCATTTTAAAACCAAACCATGTGAGAATTTTCATTCACTAGTTAAATGGTGGAAGATGTGCCTTTGCAGATTAGACCACTTTCTGTTTTTAAAGGAATAGTACACCCAAAACATGATTAGCCTTCATTTTCTACTCACCCCCATGCTGAACAACACTCTGGAGTACTTTTTTGATATCTCAAATGCATCTGGAGATCTGGGAGGCTTCTTGCTGTCTGCTGACATTCAAATAATGGAGGTCTATGGCGCCCGAGGCAGAAAGGTCCATAAAAGTCCACAAAAAACGTGTCAATATTCCTCCATACTACTCGTCCAATGTATTCCAAGTGTCCTGAGTGGGTAGCATCCATAATTTACTCGAAACGAAGTCATTTAGAATGTTTTTAGAGCATAAACAGTAGTGTATAGGATTTCCTGAAAGCGCGTTCACGAGTCTACGGAAGCCGGCAGACCAAACCAGATGAAAGTGCGCATTCAGCGTCTGCTCTGCCAATAATGCAAGCGTAGAAGAAGAAATGTGCTGTTTACCTGTGCAAAGAAAGAAACAACGAAAGAAAAATGTCTGAGGACTTCAGTGTTGAGGAAGAGCATGAGTTCTTTGCCGAGCTGAATGCGCACTTTCATCTGGTTTGGTCTGCCGGCTTCCGTAGCGTCGTGAACTTGCAGGCGCGCGCTTTCAGGAAATCCTATACACTACTGTTTATGCCTTAAAAACATTCTAAATGACTTCCTTTCGAGTAAATTCTGGACGCTACCCACTCAGGACACTTGGAATACATGTTTTGGGTGTACTATTCCTTTAAGGGCATCTAATCCAAAGGAGTGAGTCACTGCTATCAATGAGATGTGCTGTTATTTCAGCTTTGCCTCAGAAATTGTTCACTGCGCCTTTAATTTAAACAGCATGGATGTTAAATATATGCATCTATTTGTTAGCAAAGGCTGTAGGAAAGTATAGTTAGTCTTCATTTAGAAAATATGGATGTTGTGCTGGTTCCTGTTGGAACATCGTAGATTGACCCTGAGGTTCTGGTGCCTATCCCCTGGTTATAGCGCAGTGGTTATTGCCTGGCCATCCCATTAACATTCTCTGGCTACACCTCTGTATAGATCCAGAGATAAAAGTACACTTTTAGCGTAAATATTTTAGCATCTGTAGATTTAATTGGAAAAATCTGTTTTTAACACCTATACAGAGTAACAGAGATGACGTCTAAACTAAGCTGCTAATTGATTGGACCCACTTTTTAATGAGATCAGTCCTTTCTAGATGTGATGATGCTTTTGTTTTATTGTGCTGTTTTAAAGAGCGCATGGAGACGGCCAACAAACAGCTGGCCTCTAAGGAGTGTGACAGCTCTGAGGACAATCGCAAAACCATCTCCCAGTTGGTTGCTCAGAGTGAGTGAAGCACACACACACAATACGTCTCTGTTTGCAGGGCCTTTCCATTCATTTCCATTCATTCCTTTTTTAATGATTTCTACAGCCTAACTGTGATGCTTACCCAATAACAGCAATTCCCAGAATGGGCTCCAGGCATCAGGCCCCATGAAGGCCATTTGGTCCAGTGCTAATTTTCCAGAAAATGTCCCCCGCAATGTAACAAATAAAAGTGTGTCACACTCAACAAATTTCTCTCCTTTATAGCACCATGAGGAAAAGTGGCCATATTTTTGTTACCCTATAGGAATAATTTCTCAGAAATATGCCACATTGTAGACTTATAGGTACTTGTGGGGACCACTGACTCTCTATAGCCTCTTTCCCTTTGAAAATAACTGGTTAACGTTAGGTAATGATGCTAGCGGGTTAATGTGGGTCAGCCTGCTAACAATCAACGTTTGGCTCCCTTCCCACGGGCATAAAAAGCTGCTCTAACCCCTCGCTGGTAGCTGCATGGACTCTGACAACCCCACAGTATGCATGTCTGGAAATCAGGAACGTAAACAATGGAGAGCAACTTGGAAGGGAGGCAGGGCGTATTCAGTGTGCTTTATTGTTTCTCTCTATTATCTCTGAATCCCTCTCACCAGAGCTGCTCCATGTTTATCGAATGTAAGCAGAGTTGATTCTGCTTGTTAGATCAGAAGCGACTGGTGCGTAGGCCTGTCACGATAACAAATTTTGCAGAAAGATTAATTATCGCAAAAATTATTGCGATAAACGATAATATTGTTTGAAGACCTTTTTACATTGATTTAATGGAAATGACGTAATAATGCATGCATTTTCCTGCCAAAGATAAACACACTTAATTTTCAACAGAACACTTAACACTGGATAGTTAACAAAATTAAATCAGAAATAGAAATTAAATGGACTCTCAGTCTCTGTTAACTTAGAACACTTGAATAAAAACTAAACACAAGATAAAACCACAGTGGAAATAAAAACGTATATACAAAATTTCACGTTTGAGATATGTATGTTTTCTGGGGAGTTCATACTGTCTATCAAATGTCTGCAACATTTTTCGAAATGCCGGCTTTTCAACAATATTAAATGGGAGCATCTCTTTAGCAATTAAATGAACTACGATGTCTGTGAGCACGCGCCACTTTGCGTTGTCCTTTTTGTATGCTGCCTGTCGATTAATTGCTTCAGTGATGGACTGTCGCGAACTTGAAGACACAGGCGGGCCACCGCTTGTTCTTTTTGTTTCCTGCTGGAGAAACTTTGCTGGGTGATTGTGCTTAAGGTGGATGTGTAGGTTGGTTGTAATGCTGCTCTTAGTTGCTACTGTTTTATGACAAATGCGACATACTGGCTCGCATAGGTTCAGCGGTTCACCTCGGTCATTTGGTTTGAATCCAAAATACTCCCACACTGCGGCTGTTGCGCTCGGCTTTCAAAGCAGTTCCATTTCGAGCTTTTCCCCCCAACATAAGATGTGTTTTTTTTTTTTTTTTACCTTGCTAACTCCTCACGGGGCTCTAAAGCTGCAGAACTACAAAATGATGCGCGCTGACTACCTGATGCGATAGGTAGTCCACTCTTCCTTCTTCCTCAAAAATGAGGAAGGGGAGGGGTCAGTGGATAGCACCGGAGTTAAGCTTTTTCATCCAACGTCATCAATAGAAAGAGAAAAACACTGGCAGAGACGATATAGCCGATAAATGAAACTACATGGATAATTTTTATTTATCGTGCGATTAATTGATTTATTGATTATCGCGACAGGCCTACTGGTGCGGTGTGTTGACCTCCTTACGTTGCGTTCAATCGTATCACGTAATTCAGCGGGTCAGCCTGGCTCTGGTGTGCCCGCAGCATGCCGATTGTTGTTTGACCCGTGTAGATGCGCGTCAGTGAGCTGTTCTCACTGCTTCTAAAAACCCATTGGTCTCTGGTTTAAACAGGTTTTCTGCCAGCAGGGAAAACCTGAGCTGAGTAAACTCCTTGGGGTGGGTTAGAGTTAAGGCCTGAAGACACGGGTTGCGTAGGACTTTTTAATCTCAGATCTGATTTTTTTCCGCGTCACACTGACTGCGTATAAAGAGGCTCCAACTAGGCAGGGTGGGCAGATCTATGCAGATTTTTTCCCCTTTTGTCTCTGTGCCACACAATAAAAAAACACATTTGACTGGACAGGTTATGAAAATTTAAGAAAAAAAATAAATAAATAACCACAGCAGCTGTTAAGGAAAGCCCCACTTAACGAGTCTCTGCAGCAAACCAGAGCAGATAGAGAATGATCATCTATTAAAAACATAATGAGATCTACGTCTAAAGAAAAGGAAAACACAGCAGTAAACGGCGTGGGACGGTTTCTATGGTGATTCTCAGAGAGAGATCTGGGAAGTTTATCTAAGTTTTTCTTTCTTTCATAAAGATGTGAGAGAGATACGCTCTCTCCATCCAACTATTTGGCCTAACCATATCTCAATTCACACATCAGTTCTAACCTTAAACGCACCACAAGAAGTATTCTTACCTCATAGGGACCAGTCACTGGTCAAGTTTGCAAAATCTAGCTTATTTCTGAGAAATTGGCCCCACAGAGTAAAGCCTGCGGGGCCAATAAAGGAATAGTTTCCACAGGAGGAAGGAAAACAAGCAGCTTGGTGGGGTTCTGCTCTACTCAAGGGTTTGTTTTTAGTTTACAATCTTTCAGCTCACTGGGATGTTGTGTTGCTGAGTTTAAGCTTAATTTTTAACACTTTCAGATACTTTTCTAAAAACCTGCATTGAAGTCATTTTTAAATGATTTGCCTTGTTATTATTTTTCTGTTGTTTTTATTCTATCCTTTCTTTCACAGCAGCCCTGCTCCCCCAGAGGGCCCCATTTTAATATGGAGGCCCAAACCTTTCAACCTTTGATCCATTGAGGGATCAATCTTTGCAGATTATCTGGAACCCCCTGCTTGCCCTTATACATTTCCTTTTGCACAAGAAATGTAGTGCTTTATATTTAGAATTGTTTTAGATGAACCTCCTGGTAACGGCCGGCTGCTGTGTCTCAACTATAACCATAAATAATTGCAGTTCTTTTGTGTTTCATCGTGTTTCAGATAAAGAAATTATGCGGGAGAAAGAGAAACTGGAGATGGAGCTGAATGCTGTTCGCTCAACTGCAGACGACCAAAGGAGGCACATTGAGATCAGAGATCAAGCCCTGAACAATGCTCAGGCTAAAGTGGTTAAGCTTGAGGAGGAGGTAGGAGAAACACAAATATAAGCATCTTAAGTTGTTGTTTCCTAATATTAGAGATTTATGTATTACGTTTGTTGGTAATTTGTTGAAGAAGTGAGATTCAACCAGTGGTACTGATCAGATATCTGATGTCAAGCTGAGGTTATTACATGTTATTACATGGTTCACAACTTCCTAGCGTTGACTCGAGGTCCACAAACAGGAACATTTCTCAGATTGAATGTGACATATTCGAAAATTTCTGTATAATAACAAATGTTTAGCAAAACCACTGCACTGAACCCTGGATGAACTCACATGTCGGTCAAAGGGCAAGCGTCCTCTCAAAAGATGAGTTAAACGATGAATCATAAGAAAATGCTACGGCCAAAAATTTGGGGCTTTGAAAAAAGGAAGAGAAGGAGGAACTCTTAAAACCCAGAGTTTTGCAAAGTGGCATAAAACGACATGGAAGTAAATAAAACACAACCGGACCTGGAAGAGGTGCAGGATTAGACGGCAGAGCTGGAAGAGTGGAAGACGGAGAAAGAAAGAAATTAGGAAGGAACTGGATGTGATATAAGTGGAGGAGGTGGAAAGAAAAGCTAGATTTGACAAACTACACTATCAGGTTGGACCTAATGCCACAAAACAACCGGTTGGACATAGAAATAAAACGACAGGCAACATGTAAAATAAGAGAGAAACACAAATGTAATAAAATCCTATCCTAAGAAATGTTTTTAAAGTTGCAAGATGTGAACAAGTTGGAGGTAAACATATTTCTTAACCTTTCGAAACCAAGCAGTTTATAAAGTTTAAAACTATTTACTCAGAATGCATCAAAATAACAACGATAAAATGTTTACCAATACAGACATGGTAGACATCGTTGGAAAGCTTCGATTCTCCACGATTCAACCACAAAGTTCATTTTATGGACACGGCGAGCACCGAAGCACAATTAACACAGATATAGCAGCATGGTAAAATGTAAACGTGACAAAGCAGCCACAACAAGCGAGCTGCCTTTATTACTGCTGTTTGAGAATAAATAAACCCAACTTTGAGTCATGTTTGAACTGATGCAGCTTGGGTTGTGTTTTACTCACCCAATTTTCATGTATATAATCAGAAACTAGAAGGTGCTAGCTTTAAAGTAATGTATCACACATAATTTGGGCTTACAGTTCCTAAGTTATTTGCTTCTCCATTTGGCTATGCAAAATAGGCGAGGATTTCCCAAAATGAGGTGAATGTTAATACTTTTTAAAGATACGTTTCCACTGCGGATGCAATAGTCAGCATTTTATTTTACTATGGCGATGGGACTAAAGCATTAGAAGTTACAAGTTTTGGGCAACTGGACTCTCTGAGTTTTCTAGCAGACGTTTCACCTCTCTTCCCCCTGAATCTGTGCTCGACCTGCAGTATATTAATGTCAGTGCCTCCACCACTAGTTAGAACAGAAGGAGCCTCTTGGATGAGAGAAGAAACGTCACTGGATAAAGGCCCTGTTCCACCGTGACAATATATAAGTACGAAAAATCTGGCAAACGCTGGCATATGTTGGATAAGTTATGGGTACGCTGAAGTACGCTAGAACACGCTGGCATACGCCGAGTATTTCCCGTCGTATGCCAGCGTCTGCCATCCGTGCGCCATCAGTTCCAGGTCAGCTATCTGATGGCTGACAGACGTTCAGTGTCAGTTCCTCATCAGTCGTGGCGTCTAGCTGATCCTAAACCTCTGAGTAACTTGTGCATAACTTATCCAGAACTTCTCTCCAAGCATATCAAGGTATCTGACGTGTTCCAGACGAGCGCTGAACGTGTTTCTAACTTCCAGCTACTGTATAATGGCGTATTGGCAGCGTTTTGGTATAAAGGGGGTTCACAGGAGGAAACCGTCAGTTCTCCTCCAGACTTCATCCCCATCATAGGGTGAGCCTGACGGTGAGGGTGATGGATCCTCCCTGCGTTCACGCCCACCACCAACACACTTCCTAGCAGACATGACGCTCAATCTGCTGGGTTAATACCGCGATCAAAGACATATTTTTATGCAGGCCGGGCGTATGGCTGCTGCTGAGGGGAGCAGCTTTAACTGATGCTTCATAATGCTTTACGTATGCTCTGTATACGTCAAAACGTGAAAAATCCAAAAGTTCAGCATACGCCCGCGTTTTAGGAGATTCTGGGACGTCGGGGAGGCACTGGATATACCGGCAAGTTATGACAGAAGCCTTAATTCATGTCCAGCTGCCTAAACTCAACTTTTCAAGCTTGACCATGATCTGGATGACCGAGGATCTTCACAGATATGTTAGACGTGTCATTGACAGTAAAAGCAATGTGTGTGTTTTTTATGTGTGCAGCTTAAAAAGAAGCAAGTTTATGTGGAGAAAGTGGAGAGGATGCAACAGGCTCTGGCTCAGCTTCAGGCAGCGTGTGAGAAGAGAGAACAACTGGAACATCGCCTTCGTACCAGACTGGAGAGAGAGCTGGAGTCTCTACGTCTGCAGCAGGTAGTGCAATACGTGTCCGATTGATCATCATTCAGGGATTACATGCATTCATTGATAACCCATCTGATTATCAGATCAAAATTGGCCAGTTTTCTAAGCTTAATATGGAAGAACTTCCACAGCCTTTAGATAATGAGCCTCTGTTCTCAGGGCAGGAGCCTATCCAGTGGTTTACTGCTTTCAGGAATCTTATAGAATTGTCTGCTAAAGGCCAGAAGACAAGAAATACGATTTTGAGTCTGATCTGACAGAAAAGGATGTCGGACGAAGTCATGGCGTTTAGCGCTCATTGAGAGTCAAACAGCAGCCGGATGCAAATGAAAATAAATCCATCCTACTGTATTGGTCCAGCCAGTGGCGGATCTGTGGGGCGGCTACTTGGGGCTACAGCCCCGGATGTTTCCCCAAGATCCCCGGATCTCGCTTCTGAGCTGATCTGAGTGCAGTACTGGAATTCACCAGGGAGTGGCAGCATGCAGGAAAGCAGCCTGTAGCATTACCACACAGAAAAAGAAATGTTTCCCTCTCATCACTGCCAGCTTTTAGGAGTCAGTGCCTCCGCTGCAAATTTTAACCGGATAGGTCAGCGGCGGATATGAATGGATATCAGAAGCTTTTTCCAAAGGCAGGAAGCTGCAGCATCAGCAATAGCTGTTGCTAAACAGACTGATGTCACAGGTTTATGAAGCTTTGACTGATTTAAGACGTTGTTTGTTGAGATCTAGTTCAAAATTCTGTTCCGATCATTTTCACAGCGCTTCCGATTTCTCTGTAAAAATAGATAATTTGTTCATTTCAAGGTTGTAAGATCCAGTTCAATCAGCAGCTTTTGTTCACAAAATTGTAAAAAATAAATAGACGAGGTCTTTTTACGCTGTTTTGTGTTGTTCTTTTAAACACCAAGAGAATCAGTGTTTAGCTGGACACAAAAACTAAGATTTCCTGAAAAGATGAGACTGTAGACTTTCTGCTAAATCCTGTTCCAATGTAAAATATAAGAGTACTGGATTAAGGACATTTCTACTATAAGACACGATATCACATAAACTATTTTTGAGAAATTGGAAACAGTTTCTCTTTATTTCCCACAGATATGGGAGGAGGAGAGGAGAGAATGGATGTTTTAGCTTCTCTTTCCATCCAGAAAGATTTCTCCACTCAAAATGTGTGGGGCAATGCTGCTCCACACATTTTATAATATAAAAACATAATGACAGTTTCAAAATTCACAGGATTTGTTTATTTTTTCCCAGGTTATTGGGGAACGGATTATATCAGGTGGCTAAAATATTTGATTCCCCTCTCATAACTCTGGCAAATAATGATCAAATGAGACCAAATCCACAGAGTTTGTTGTTGATGAAGAGAGGAATAAACACAGTTAAAGACTTGCAGGTAAATTAATTTCTTCCCATGTTATGGAGGGGAACGGATTATTTAATTCAGCTGAAGTATCCATTCTCTCCTCTCCTCCTCCCATATCTTTAGGAAATAAAGAGAAACTGTTTCCAAATTCTTAAAAAAATGTTCTGTGTAATAGCATGTAGTCTACTAGAAATGTCTTTAATCCAATAATCTGTCATATTTTACATTAGAACGAGATTAACCAGGAAGTCTCTCATCTTCACCCTCAGGTCTAAGCCGCTAATCTCCTTACTGGGAGGCAGAGGAGTCCCAGCTTAAACATGGGACCAACGTTTAAGCTCTCTAGAAAGGACTAACATGGGTTTGATTCTGTTGCTGATTTATGCTGCATCTCTTCTGGTTATGGCTAAAAATGGTTTTATTTTTAACTCCTGTATTTAAGCTTGAAACAGAAGTCACTGAGCTTTGCTGCCATGGGATGAGCCGATACAGAGTTCTGGCTGCAGACTTTCACAGTTTCCACTTTATGCGTAAATTAATATTTTCCGTATTTTCTGGACTATAAGCCACAGCTTTTTTCCAATGCTTTGAACCATGCGGCCAAAACGAAGGTATGCCAGGCGGCTGAAATCAAAGGTGCACAGTTTGCACAAAAACAGGAGTTTCCTTTTGTCCCAGTCTTCCTTTGTTAGAGCATCAAACTCCACCCAGCTCTCTGTTACCCTGCAGATACAGATGAGTCTGAATGGAGCAGACTAGTACTGTCAGGCTGTTTACTGTAATAAGTGCTGTAAACCTGATGTTATCCAGTGAAAAGTGTCGTTATTAATTGAACACCAACATGAGCTGTATGTGTCGCTCGTTCTTCTCAGAATGAACGTCGCTCTCGTTCATTACGTCAAAACTCATCAGTTCAGTTCACTGTTCACTAGAAACTGGAATGTGAACTGATGCACAGCACTTGGTTTCTGCATATAGTGAGGTGCGCACTTAGCCTGGAAAATACGGTAATGCTCTGCCATATTCACTATTATAATAAAAAAACAAATATAACAGCACAGCTATCAGTCTGATTATAGAGCATGAAACGGATAAATGACCCCTGATGATGTTTTAAAAGCAATTTAAAATGTTTGTAATCTACCTGACTCAGACACTGTTGAAACGTTTTATTTATGTCATCTTGTTTGTTTGTATGCTACATCTATCAGTCAGCCTTTATAGGACTCTCTGTCTTGTCTGTCATATGTGAACCTCAGCGTCAAGGAAGCTCACAGAACAGCGCTTTGGGGACATCAGAGTACAACGCTGCAGCCCTAATGGAACATCTAAGGGAGAAGGAGGAGCGCATTCTGGCTCTGGAGGCGGACATGACCAAGTGGGAGCAAAAGTATTTGGAGGAAAGTGTGATGAGGCAGTTTGCTCTGGATGCTGCAGCATCTGTTGCTACGCAGAGGTGAGGTTCTTCCATGCATCTATTCATGACGCCCTTCTATCTGGGAATGATCTTTGTTAAGCTTCTAGGAGGCGCTGTAGAGGAATTAGATCACAGCCACCATATGTTGTCCTGAATTCCTGGATGTGGTTGAACTAGTTGAACTCCAGTGATCTATATAAAGAATAGAGTCAAATCTATGGTCATGGAAAGATGCATTGCTGCCACAACCAGACCCTTCAGTGAAAAACATTCCTGTTCCTGTTCTAAAGCAAAGTCAGAGAGGAAATAAAAAGAATTTACAACAACGATGCCAAAAAGTGACCTTCTGACTTAAAATGGACTGTGAAGAGCTTTATTTTTTCTCTCTGTACCAAATCTATGATATATGGTTCAGCTGACCTCAGTTTAGGGAGCTGTCAAGCTCTGAACTCTGTGTACGATCTGACACAAAATCGTGTCGGACAAGGTTGTGGTGTTTAGCACTCTTTGAAAGTCGGTGGGGATGATCACTCCCGACACAATGTTCTGCAAGAGTCCAGGTCTGTTAAACTGGGACTACGCTGCAATTCAGTAGCAGTTCCATGGGTCTGACAGGAAGAGAGACGCTCTTACACAGTAAAACACAGGAGCTTAGGGAGAAAATAAAAAATAACTTCTGTTAAACGGCACATATATTGCAGGCGGGACAAACTCGTGCAAAAACAATCAATGGAACATCAAAAAAATAGAAAACTAAATGCAACCAAAAATAACCATTAATCATCATGGATGATGTGTGTGAGAATGTACGATTCTTATTAGTGTTTTTATCAGCTATTTTTATTTATTTCTTATATTATGTGTAAATGGTGGTGACAGTGATCTTTGTTTTTAAGCATATGCACTGATCGATCGATGGCACTTTAAAAAAAAATTTCGTTGTTCTTTGTGACAATGACAACAATAAAGATAAAAGATAATAATAATAGAACTTTCCCCATGATAGGAGATCCGGAGGACAGAAAACAGATAAATTAGTGATCCTACGAGGGGCAGACAGAGCAGCTCAGAGCAGCTCATCACTCTCCCCTCTTTATGAGAAAAAGAGAAACCTAAACTTCTCAGATCTCTCTGAGATTCACCTCTCTGCCTCAGTCAGCATAGAAACCGTCCCACAGCCTTTATTGCTGTGTTTTTTTTTCTTTACACATAGTTCCCATTATATTGTTTATATTGGGCTATAAAAATTCTCTATCATTTAGGAGATGCTGCACAGACTTATAAAGTGGGCTTTGCTTTATGACTGCACTGATTGTTTTTTTATTCTTATCTATTTTTTATAACTTTTCATGATCAGTCCAATGTCGGAAATCACAGAGACAGATTAGATAAATATCTGCACAGATCTGCTCGTCCTTTGCAGTCGGAGCCTCTCTATATGCAGTCAGTGTGTAACCAGTGTGACCGGGCCTGCAGGCCTTCAAACAGCTGCTCAAAGTAACTAAAGAATAAGAAATCCTTCAGTAGACATGTTTCCATAAACGTGATACGATTGCAACACATTAATGAAAACATTAACGTTTTGCTTTGTATTGTCTGGTTTATTAGCTTCAAGCCAGATGGAAAAAAGACATTCGATTCACAATTTCCCTTTTTGAAAGGTTTGCCCAAAGTCTGTCTGAGAATTTGGATGGAAATAGTTAATCAGGATAGACCTTCAAACCAAGGGTGTTTTTAACCCATTTGTTGGGGGTGCTGATCAACACCCTAAATTGAATCAAAGGAACCCCAAATTCTTATTTTTTATACTGTATGTGATTTTTAAAATAAAGAAGCAAACAAACAAAAAACTATGAAAGTGTTGTTGTGTTTGCTGAGCTTAAACCTGAGCTTAAAGTCCTGTTTAAACTGGAATGACAGAAGGCGGCTGCTGTCATATGCTAAGATGCTAAGAAGTGACATGCTGGCTGGATGCTCATTAACATTATGAGTCTGGCTGAGTGTGAATGTGTTTACAGACAGCCTCGTCAAGAAAATTACATTTTTTCTGTAAAAAAAAAAAAAAAATTTAATTAATAAGGCAAATTGAGGTAAGAGTAGCCCAAATCAATCTTTATCTTTAAATAAATCAGAAACATTTTGTTTCGATTATCGCCCCATATTTTAATGTTCTCCAGAAGAACCCATACATTTAACGTATCAGTGGACTTTCTAAGCCAGACATCTCGAATACATTTTCCTAATCAACTAAATGCTTTACTGTTGCTTCATTTCACTGTATGAGGAGAAGAACAGATGAGACAGCAGAGCAGGGAAAGAGAAGAAGAAGAAGAGACAGAGCGAGCAGCAGAGCAGCCATCAAGCCAAAGGATCTCAAAATCTGCCTTTTTTATTTTATGAGATAAGACTGCTGGTCCTTAATAGTTAGAACTGATCTAGTTCCTGCTCACTCAGTTTGGCAACAAAAATGAACGGGTAGCACTGCTGCCTTCCAGCAAGAAGGTTCCGGGTTCGATTCCCGTCCCAGGGTCTTTCTGCATGGAGTTTTCATGTTCTCCCTGAGCATGTGTGGGTTCTCTCCAGGTACTCTGGCTTCCTTTTGTCCTTTTTGTCTCTGTGTTGCCCTGAGATGGACTGGAGATCTGTCCAGGGTGGACCCCGCCTCTGACCCGTAGACAGCTGGAGATAGGCACCAGCAGCCCTCACCACCCCAACTGGGATAAAGCGTGTCAGAAAATGGATGGATATTCTTCTAAAACAAATACTGCTCTCTGTTTTGCTTGTTGGGTATTTGGCAAAAGCCTCATGTAGGATGACTTAGTGAATAATTGAGTGAGTAATCGGGGAAAGGCATTGAGCAATTTTCAAAAATGTACAAAATGTTGATGTAGAAAACAGTGAACTGAGTCATGTTTGGCCAGAGAGCTCTCTGGGTGCCCAGCACCCATAAACCTCTGATCCTAGAATGGCCCCTGCTTCACGCCGCTCGGCTGTTTGGGCATCATAGACGTCCTGTGGACCACCAGCCACTTTATCTCAAACTGCTTCAGCACAGCCTGCAGCTTCTGGAAACATTTTTACATTAAAAATTTTAGATATTTCTTCCAAGGATGTTTTTTCAAGTATTTTTAAAACGTCATTATACTCTAAAAAGGACCGAGGATGTTTAACTAGATGCTCACCTAATTGCTTGTTATCATTATTTTGTGTAAAGGGACACGTCTTTGGCAGGAATCAACCACTCTCCAAGCAGCAGCTATGAAACATCTGTGGAGGCTCGAATTCAGAAGGAAGAGGAAGAAATCCTCATGGCCAATCGTCGCTGTTTGGACATGGAGAGCAGGTTGATATGCAGCACGCAAGATTTTATGTTCGTTTATTCAATGCATTTCTGTGTTGTGGAATCAGAACCGTTGCACTAACAGCGCCCATGAAGTGACCAACGGCACAATATTTCTGTTATTAGTAGGGCTGCAACTAATGATTATTTTGCAATTCGATTAATAATCAGACAGCAAAAGGTTCCTAAAAGAAGACTTTGTCTGAAATAAAACCAGATGAAAATAAATCTTTTCTACTTAATGTACATTAAATGTAAAATGTTTATGTATTTTTTTTAACCATTTTGATACAATTCCTGCTCTACGTTGGTCTCTGTCAGCTAAAGGCACGTTTTACAGTCTCTATATTCCAGTTAATCGATTACTAAATTAGTTGACTATTCCAATAATCGATTTATCCGATTGTTTGAGGCTTAGAACAGATGAAGCCGCCATAGACTAATCACATTAGGTCGAGTCTGGCTTCACTTTTCTTAATTCATCTTTTGTGAAATATGACCCTGGTTTTCAATCAGCACAAACTAAATTTAAACTAATTGTCTAGTTACTGTCTATTTACTGTCACATCAGAATAAAAAAAGGTTGTTATTGAAAAAACTATTAAGAGCTGATTGTTTTATTAGTGTCTCTTTATTGGGCGCTGCTGTCACATTTTATCCTCAGATCATCCTGATGTAAAACAGCCTGTTCTCCTCTTTAAATGCAGGATAAAGAACCTCCATGCCCAGATCATTGAGAAAGACGCCATGATAAAGGTTCTTCATCAGCGTTCCAGGAAGGAGCCCGTTAAGTCTGAAGCGCCATCGGCCATGCGGCCTTCTAAGTCGCTGATGTCCATCTCCAACACTGGTCCAAGTGGTTCAGGACTGCTTTCACACAACCTTGGCCTGAGCAGCTCCCCGATCACTGAGGAGCGCAAGGACAGCAACTGGAAGGGCAGCCTTGGTATACAGAAATATATATATAACTTTATTTTCTCTGCTGTTACTTTACTCTGAGCTCTTCATGGAGATTTGATTCCTAATTAGTTTGACCTTTTCACTTTACAAACACCAAAAGATCAGATGACATAACATCATGATAATAATTACTAATGCCAGAGTCGTCGTAAATATTCTAAAGGGACCTTTAGATCATCCAGGCGCCATCAATAGTGCTAACGTAACATTTTAGGAAGTAGGCCCAAAGGAAAATTCCAAAAATAAAAATTGTGATTATTTTTAACCAATATTCTGATTGTGATTTTTGCACTAACCCCAAGTAGATGTTTCATCGCAGGCTTTCAGTTTTTGAAAGCTTTCGTGAAAAGAGTCCATTGTTGCATCATTTTAGTGTAAACTTTGTGTGAAAACTCTTTCAACCTTTCTGTGTAGCGACAAACCCACCTTAAGCTCTTTATTTCAACCTAAAGAGCTGGAATGAGAAATTAACATTTTTATTCTTGGTAAATGTAATGGCATTATAATTTAGAGCCTCTGCGATTTGATTTGAAATTTCATTGCAAATGCAATTAATTTTAGGAAGTAACATCTCAGCTTTATGCTCATTTCACAAGAATGGACATAAATGTCATACAATGGCTGCAACAGCAAATCTTTTTCATATTGTTAGGATTATTTTAATTGATGTATGAGCGTACTGAAGTCTAATAATACCTGCCTGGCTGACTGCCAGTGGCAAAGTGGATACGTCTCCTCCGCGCAGGTCGAGATAAAATGTAAACAAAGTCACGCACACAACACGCAGCTCGTATGTTGTCATACGTTGACAGCTACGTTCAGGCTGTGGGAGAAGTTATCTGGGGAATAACCAGAGAGGCAATGCAGTCGTCCACTGGTTGTATGTGGTGCAGACCGTAGTCCTGAGGGCTGTGCCATGAGCCACGAATCCCTAGCATGGTGGGAGAAGAAGCGCCTAGGATGCTCCTTACCACGTTGAAGCTCCTCCAAGAAGGTTGGAAATGGAGGAACCTCAAATGGGGGCAGCTGGGGCCCTGCGGAATAAGGGATTTCTGCAGGACAGGATGCTGGAGCATCATCCAGGCTAACTCTGGCCAAGGCTGCCATAATAATTGTGAGCAGCTCGATTATTATAGCAAATTTTACTTTTCCATTTAATAGGGTAAAGAAACACGATAAACTGTCACTATATCATCTTTATATTATTCTTTAGAATTTGGTGCCCATACAGAAAATGTATAGATTGCTTTCTATCCATAGCAAAGGTCTTTGTGATTTACGCACACGTGCAGATTCCAAATATGGGGCTATGCTGTAAAACCGCAATACGGAGAGAAGAATAAGATTTTAGCTGGATAATAAGCTAATGGTTGGTTATATTGTAGAAACTGGATGTCAATGGGATGAAATATGTTTTCATGAAATCCTGGCTGCGCTTTGGGTCATTGTCATGCTGGAAGACCCAGCCTCCACCATCTTCAATGCTCTAACTCAGGGAAGGAGTTGTTCCCCAAAATCTCCTAATAAAGGGCCTCGGTCATCCTCTCCTTAATACAGTAAGTACTGTCCCATGTTTACAATAACGCCCCCAAAGCATGATGCTACCACCCCCATGCCTCACAGATGGTGTTCTTGACATGATACTAAAGATGGGCTTTGAGATGTGTTGGTTTAAGCTGGGAACCCTCCATGTCATGTATGAGTTCAAATCATGACGTCTTAGGCTTAGTTAAAACTGCAGGCCTTGATGCTCAATTCCCATTTTTCTGTGAAATCCAATTTTTTTTTGCGTTGCCAATCAGATTTCCACATTTATGCGACCTGTATGTGATCTCCTGTGTGAACTGCATTCATCCAACTGAAGTGTCCCGCATGTGCAGTAGAGGACACAATGATGTCACAAGCATGCATGCTCTGTTTACGGAAGTAAACATGGTTGGTAGTGCCGGAGCGCATCTTGCAATCTTTTCCAACCTTAAAAACATAATCTTTTCAATATAAATAATAGGCCAAGTGGCCGGGGTCGCATTGGATGAAATTGGATCTGAGTTGTTTAGACTGTCATGAAAAGATCAGATCCAGGTCACATGCTGGCAAAAAAATCGGCCTTGGTTTCATTTAAGACTGGTGTGTGAACATGGCCTTAGTGTATTACCATCGGTGACCATGGAAACGGTGGTCCCAGCTCGTTTCAGGTCATTGAGCAGCTCCTCCCTTGTACTTCTGAGCAGATTTCTCACCTTTCTTGGGATCATTGAGACCCCACCAGGTGAGATCTTGCATGGAGCTCGTGTCCGAGGGATGTTTAGCTTCTTCCATTTTCTAATGATTGCTCCAACACGGGACTTTTTTTTCACCAAGCTGCTTGGCAATTTCCCCATAGCTCTTTCCAGCCTTGTGGAGGTTTACACTTTCAGCTCTAGTGTTTGGACAGCTCTTTGGTCTTGGCCATGTTACTAGTTGGATTCTTACTGATTGTAAGGGGAGGACAGGTGTCTTTAGGCAGCTCATCACCTCAAACAGGTGAATCTAATTTAGGATAATGGCGTGTACTTGGACAGTACAATTCATTCGCCTTCCGTGCTGTTGGTGATTAAGTGGTAAATGTACTTCACTGTAACTGCATCGTTATATAACAGTTGTTGGACACCCCTCAGGAACAATCTATCTTTCTAATTGGAAAGTTCTAAAGGACATGCGGATCTTCAGTGTGTCCTCATGAACCAGAGGATGATGCTTATACCCTGTTTCCCGGCCTCTTGAAATATGTACAACTTTTAATTCCCTTTCATAGATTTGTAAGAATAGAATAGAAAATCCCTTTATTGTGCCACAATGGGGAAATTGAGGAAAAGCATTACAGCAAAAGTGGTCACACAAATGTGGACCTTAGGAATTGTATTAAAATAACCAAATAATGGGCAGAGTTAAAGAATAAGCAAAATAAAATACTGTACTGTACAGTGTTTGTACAAATATAAATACTGCAAAGTCACCTGATGAATAAATAATCAATATGCTGTGCAGCAACACCAGAGATGTGCAAAATTTTAACCAGCAACATGTTATTTAAGTGACTAAGAGAGAAACTGTGTAAAAATCAGCATGAATGGAAGAACTGATTGAGGTTGATGGGAACAGTGGTGGTTCTAGAGTCTTCCAGCTGCTGGGAGGAAGGATCTGTGATAACGCTCCCTGGTGCATTTAAGGTGCAGCAGTCTGTCACTGAAGGAGCTGTCCAGTTCAGCACCAGCTGAACCAGCATGGGGTGGGGTTATGACACATAGCGACATGGACTGCCACCAGCAGTGATTACAGAGATTTTAATCTGTAGTCCTGCTCTAAGAGTAGCAGATATTTTCATTGCTGTTATTGTGAATCCCAAAGTTTCACATATGACATCAAAAGTGGCTTAACGAGTGGGAACAAATCTTCATTTCCCTTTTCACAGCAGTAGGCTGGCTGCACCTGGTGGATGCTTCAGAAGTTTAGAAGCTGGTCTGAATAATATAGGCCTTGTCCTCAACCGGAGCCTCATATGTGTCCATTTCAGGTGATTTAGCTCCCTCTGCTGGACAGAAAGGTGAACGGTTACTTTGCAAAGGTTTTTCCTACCCATCTATACATAGGTGGGGCGTTCAATAAGCAATGCCCCTGACTCATGTCCGGTTGTTTGATCTATCTGAAATTCCCTGTGTTTTATCTCTACAGATTAAGTGGCAGATTACGGCTCTGAACTAATTGTGGTTTGTGATTTACTGGTGTTTGAACTGAGTAGAGTCTGTAAACGGAGGCTTATTCAATGTCTAGCAGTGATGCGTGCACCACAGGAGACTTGATGAAATGAAAGTAACTCATAGTGATGAAACGCTTTACAAGGTGATTTGATGACGCATCATCACCAGAAGTTACTTTTATTTCATCAAAATCTCGCTTTTAAAGGACTTTTCCTTTAAAAGCCTCAGAACAATTAATATGCATCTGTTTCTAAAAAATGTCTTATAGAAAAGTTTGTGAGACGTATCATTTATTTATTTATTTATTTATTTGTTTGTTTTTTAGGAGTTTTACTGGGTTCTGAGTGTCGCACAGAGTCTCTACGGACAGAATCCATCTCATCGTCCCCTTCCCCGGTGCTTTCTACCACCCCCATGACTGCAGGCCACTCAAAGAGCGGCAGCAGGGACAGCAGCACGCAGACAGACAAGGGTCAGAACCAGGGGAGCAGTAAGCCCAGTCCTTCTGTCCTGCAGAGTATGACGCTGCCTGCCCGCCTATCCAGCCCCAGCCCAGTTTACATCCCGGATCGCTTAGCAGGTTGGTTTACATTTTCATCAGCAGAGAAGCTTCTCAACATAAGCTTTTCCTTGGGTCTAAATGAATCAGGAAACTTCTTCAGGTTGATCTTCTTTGCATTCCCACTAATCATGTTGTTTCTCTGAATAAATTTGGTTTAACAATGTTGAAAAATGTAGGACCCTGTCACACCTTGCTGTTTTATCCAGCGTCTGCCTGACGTCCCAAAATCTCCTAAAACACTGAAGTACGCTGAACTTTCGATGTATTGTTTTCAATTTGGTGCATATAAATAGTATTCATAACGAGTCCAGAACTTATGTCAAACGACAGCCTAACTTCTGCATAACGCACGGCAGCATGATGCCCAGGAAATGATGCATAAGCCAGTGTCCTGAGGGGGGCAGCGAAGCGCCGGGAGGCGCCGGCCTGCAGAAAAAGATTTCTTTGATCACGGTATTAACCTAGCTGCTGTTTACCGCCCGCCCCCAGAAATACATAAAAAGAAAAGAAAGAAAAAGGTTTGGATTGGCAGCAGATTTAACATCATGTCCGTCATTTTCCATCATATGTTGAAGAATATGATTATGTTACCTGTATAAATAAATTGTAGAGCTTTTCTCTGTGCGAGTCTCTCCAGTTTACATTCATGTTGTGCATCTATTCATAGTTTTGGAGCTTAGAAGTACAAATAAAAAAAAAACACTCCTTCATTTGTTCCATTTCCAGGATTATTACATTAAAAGCTGCATTTTTCTATCATAGTTGTGATTTATTACATCTGTGTGTTTATGAGTAGAAAAAACTTGAGTCACATGATCATGGTCCAACATAAAATCTGCTGATTCCTGTGATCATTTCTAAACCTTTGACTTGTATTATGTTTTCTTTTTTTCTGTAGAAGTTCCAGTATTTAACAGCAGCACCTTTGAGCGGAGGTTCCCCATGCAGTCCCATTCACAGCAGCAGGCTTTGGCTCCAGCAGGACAACAAGAGGCAGACAGCGACGTCGTTGAGATCCTCATATGAAGTCGTCTCAGGATTAGAAGAAGAACAATTTCAGCAAAGAAGTGATTGGATGGCAGCTTCATCACAGGACTTCATTATTTTCTGTGTCTAGAGCTCCATCTTAGACCATTCAGTCGTTAGTCCAAGTTCTACAAGACGTAACTGCTTCGAAAACAGGCCTGAAACCATTTCAGCCTTTCTTTCTTGTTGTTTTGGTGTTTTGTTCTGTTTGTTCCTTTTCTACCGTCTTACCCGCAGTAATTGAGAAATATGTACAAGTCTTGAAGAAAAATGAATAATTGCACAATGCTGAGAAGCAGGATCTCTGCCCCACCTGGATGGAGTTATCTGGGATTTCTGTATAATTTCTTCCAAAATAATGTCTTAAAAAACAAAATTTTTGGATTCAACTGTACAGGAAATGTATAACCGTGATGTCGAGCTTCCCAGCAGAATTACTTCTCATCTTTAACAAAAAATTATGTAAAAAAGATGTGCAGTTTTCCAAAGTAAAACGAGCATCAGGATCATCAGCGCAGATTTCTGCAGACTAAGCAGTTGACCAATTGTATAAACTTTTATTTGCATTATTTATTGCACCGTTTAACCACATCTGTCAGGCTTTATTTTAAGGCTGACATTTTGCTTTGTTTTTATATGTTATTTTTATGTTTGTTATTCCTTGGACATAACAGGTTCCTGTCAAGAGTTATATCCCCTATAAAGATATTATTCCCTCATTTTTAAGAGATTAATTTCTTTTCATGTTTTAACTCAAAACCATACATTTAAAAATGAGTAGACGGCAAATTGCATTTGAGTTTAAAGTCGAGTCCCTTGGTTTCTGCTAAGCATGCTAATCTGCATTTAGATTAAATGAGGACAATCTGACATTATACAAGAAAAAAAAAAGACATATTTTTGGTTTAATAACTGAAAAAGAGAAACTTATTAAATAAGCTGAGCACTAAAGGCTAGAAGGAAAATATTTAAACTGTTATATTTTGTCAGCTGTGTTGGTATGGGACACAGTATTAACTTTATTAACACACAATCATAATTACTTTAATGTTAAAATTAGTATTTTTGTTTATGCCTTTGTAAGAACTTTACCATTAACCAACCAGACCACCTAGCTAGCCTAATTATTCATACAAAAGGCCCTGAAAATACATTTCATAAACAGAACCTGAAAAGAATTACAATTATTATGAAAAAGAAAATGGAAACAATTTTGTTGCAACACTTAACATAAATGCACATATTTCTAATACATAACCTCAATCTTTGTTTAAGGTTAAAGAAGCATATCAATGAGTACGAAATATGCTTTTAATTTGTCTTTTTTCTTCTTTTTCTTTTTATCACCTTTGTTTAAACTCTAAATCTGAGCATTGATGGAGACTAAAGTCATTCTTAGTTCAAGTTTTAGTACCTCTGTGCTAAGTAAAGGTGTTCTTTCATTTCTTGAGGATTTGCACTTACTCAACTTTTGTGTGTGTATATACCTATATGATTTATTAACTTCTATGTATATATATATATAAATACTTTTTTTTAAAAATCTGCATTACCAATCTTAAGCAAATTTAAACTCTTAAGCCAAGTTTTCTTGGGAACTTAAGTTATTCTCTATTCAAATTTTGGTATGTTAAGGTGTTCTTTCATTTCTTAAGGTTTTGCACCTACGAACAAATGAATTAAGTGTGTAATTATGTGTATTTTCTCAATTTATGACTTTTTTTTAATTAAACCTGCATGGCCAACCCTTTTTGAACAATCCTGCATATAGAAAACCAGATCCCTTAACAGTGGACTACTTTTTATGATCTAGACCTTAAAGCACAATCATTCCATGTTTCCAACACAGCAGCACTGGCAAAGGTGCATTGTTGAAAGTCTACATAACACCATGATGTTGAACGATATGGGAAAAACAATGTATGGATCATGGATCATAAAAGGAAAAAAAAGTGTCATTGTTAAAAATATTTTCTGAGAAACCTAGAAGCCAAAATGGACTCCATACTCGACCCCGCTATTTCTCATATTTCACAGTTCAGTATAATTAGGTGGGATCTCCTTGTAGATCAGGAACACAGTGAAAGGTTTAATGTTTAACCTGTTTAACGGAAGAAGTTCCCGTAAATCAGAAGTTTGTTATTAGAGTCTGATCTAACTGTTTGGATAAAGACTAATTGGGGAAAAATTTTGAATTTTTCCCTATCACTATAAAAATGAAATTGAATGTATTTTTACTGTAACATATTTTACTGTATTTTGTTGTTGAATTCACATTACTCTAAACAAAATGGCTTCTAACCTCTCACTGTTACATTGAGAACGGTGTTTTTCTAGCATTTTTTAACCAAACCTGTTGGTGTCTTGATGTTATACATTTACTGTCCAGTTTTTTACTCCATATTCACTGTATATTTCCCTAAATAAATCGCACTTTGCTTCACTTCTGTTGTGTTTTAAATATGATTTAAGTTTAAAAAAGCATTGTCCCTGTGGTGAGCTTTTAGTGCAGTTTTCCAGGTAAACAAGTTAAAATGAACTTCTTAAATTTAATCATCTATCTGAAAGATTTTAGTTCACGTTAATGATAGATCTTCCTCATGCTCAAAGGTTACCTGTGGAGTACCACAGGGATCAGTGCTAGGACCAATTCTCTTTACTTTATACATGCTCCCAATCGGTAGAGTTATTAGACAGCATGGGATTAATTTTCACTGTTATGCTGATGATACCCAGCTATATCTGTCTATAAATCCAGATGAAGCTAACCCATTACATAGATTACAGGCATGTCTGAAGACATAAAAACCTGGATGACTCTTAACTTTCTGCTTCTGAATGCAGACAAAACAGAAGTTATAGTCTTTGGACCAGAGTCTCTGAAAAAAGCTGATTAGTCAGTCACTTCATTTGGATGGGATTAAACTGATTTCAGATAATAAAGTTAAAAATCTTGGTGTTGTTTTTGATCAGGACCTGTCATTTAAATCCCATATCAAAAAGGTTTTTACAATTTCCTTCTTTTTCATCTGAGGAATTTTCCAAAAAATGAGAAATATCCTGTCCAGGGGTGATGCTGAGAAACTAGTCCATGCATTTGTTACTTCAAGGCTGGACTATTGTAATTCTTTACTATCAGGAAGTCCACAAACTGTAGTTAAAAGCCTTCAGCTGATCCAAAATGCTGCAGCCAGAGTTCTGATGAAAATGAAAAAGAGAGATCATGTCTATCCTATCCTTTTTCATATTCATATTCCCCCATCCAGTTTGAGTAGAAAATAGGAAAACAACTTAAACTTGTAGTTTGATTGTTAATTTTCTATGCGCTTTGTTTATATCTATTGAATTGTTTTACCTGAATTACACAATTACTGTTTACTACCCCAGAACCAATCAGCCTTTATCAGATTCACCTGTTCACCTGGCTCTATAAGCAGCTCTCAGATCAGTCACTAGTGTGACAGCAATATAAACAGGTCCTTCTCAAAATATTAGCATATTGTGATAAAGTTCATTATTTTCCATAATATAATGATAAAACTTGAACATTCATATATTTTAGATTAATTGTTCACTAACTGAAATATTTCAGGTCTTTTATTGTCTTAGTACGGATGATTTTGGCATAAAGCTCATGAAAACCCACAATTCCTATCTTACAAATCTAGCAGATTTCATCTGACCAATGAAAAGTGTTCTTCATACAAAAAAGTCAACCTTCAAATAATTATGTACAGTTATGCACTCAATACTTGCATGACTGCTTCAGTGCGGTGTGGCATGGAGGCTATCAGCCTGCTGTTGTGTTATGGAGGCCCAGGATGCTTCCATAGCAGCCTTTAGCAGTGTTGGGTCTTGTGTCTCTCAACTTTCTCTTCACAATATCAAACAGATTCTCTATGGGGTTCAGGTCAGGAGGTTGGCAGGCCAATTGAGCCCAGTGATACCATGGTCAGTAAACCATTTACCAGGGGTTTTGGCTCTGTGAGCAGGTGCCAGGTGGTGCTGAAAAATGAAATCTCCATAAAGCTTTTCAGCAGATGGAAGCATGAAGTGCTCCATAATCTCCTGGTAGCTGCATTGACCCTGGCCTTGATAAAACCCAGTGGACCAACACCAGCAGCTGACATGGCGTCCCAGACCATCACTGACTGTGGGGACTTGACTTGAGATTATAATTTCTATCAGAATCTGTTGCTGTTGTCATGTCTCCTGGTTATTTAATGCATATAAGTTATGAAGTGTTATTTAGAGAGATATAGTATCAATATACAGGACCTATCTTTACATATCTATATATCTTACACATATATATATATATATATATATATATATATATATATATATATATATATATATATATATATATATATATATATCTTACGCACACACACACACATATATATAGATATATCTATATATATCTATATATATAGATATATATAGATATATATAGATATATATATATTGGTGGTCAAAATGGGTATTAAATCCTAGAATTCTAAATCTGAATGCCATAAAGTCAGTTAGTCGAAATGAGAGCAAGATGCTTGAATAAGCACAGACAAGGGATAAATAAATCGATCAAATTTGGTTAGGATTGTTATAAAACTAACAAAAAAAGTCCTGTGAAGACAATCATTTGAAAAATCAGAGTGACAGACTTTTAAGAAGAGCCAGGTAATGTGTACCACCAAACGAGTAGCAATTTAAGGAATATATTCTAAACTCAAAGCTCTTTTGGACACATGCCTGATTTTTGAGAAATATTTTTCGTACGGATATTTTCTTTTCCTCAGTGCAACATTTGATTCAAAATAGGCAACTTTCTGGTGGGTTTAGATGATGGCTCCAATTCCCTTTTGTGTAGGCGATGGTCACATAGAGATGTGTGCCAAATTTCATGATCTTTGGAAAAGCATGGCTATGGGCTGATTGATTTTAGTGCCCTTTATTGTCACATGGTCAACGATTACCTAAGAACAGAAAGTTTAGAAAAATCAGAGTGACTGAATTTAAATAAGGGCTTTGATGTGGTAACTAACTTGTTGCAGGTCATGAAAGGAACCTATTTTGAAACTTTCAACTCTTTTGGATAAAAGGCAGATTTTTTTGTTTTTCAAATTGGGTCAGTCCTTTTACAACAGGGTAAAATGTAATTCAAAATGGCCGACTTCCTGTGGGGTTTAGACCATGGTCCCAAGAACATTTTGGTAGGTGCTGTTGAGATACAAACGTGTATTTTTCATAATTATTGGACTAAATATGGCTTATAGGTTTATGGTTTGAATTTCGTTATTTCTAGGAGGCGATGTTAAGAGATTAAGCCCCGCCCCAAAAATATAGTTCTGGATTCCGGTGTGGGGTTGGATTGGGATCATTTGTTGTGATTTTGGTGCAGGTCAGAATATTTATGTACAAATGAGAGCCAAACGTATTGTCATGGCAAAATGCCTCCGTTCGCCATGCCACCACTCCAACACTCTTTAATGAAAACTATCTGTGTGTCAAACGATGTTAAGACAAGATGTTTCTGTCTGCTGACAAGTTTTAATTTGATACGGTCATGTAGGACAGAGAGAGACTGTTCCATCCAAAAAAGTGACTTCCTGTTCTGAGGGGGAGTTGCTTCAATGATGCTTAGTTTTACTTGTAAAAGTTATTGCTTTTCAAAAATCGTGGTGAGTTTGCCGAATTCGAGACCTGACCACACCCCTTTAGCATGCTCAAAAACTCACAGAAAATGATAACTTTGAATCTCACATGCCTTATCTGCATACACACTAAGTTTGAAGCTAATGGGTCAAAATCCCTAGGAGCAGTTTGTTAAAGTTCGACTTCAAAAAAATTTACAAAATGTCAAAAATCGACATTTGACTCAAAATGGCCGACTTCCTGTAGGTTTTAGAGCCTAGAACCAAAATACATTTTTTCATGATTTTGGGAGAGCTACCTAACTGATTTCATTTCTATGCAATTTATGGTTTTCCCTATCTCACTTTAGGGGGAGCTGTTGAGGCGCTTGGCCACGCCCATCTCTGAATCCATTAAAATACTTAAAGGAAAAGTCCGATCATATTCAGAATTCAAACTTCTGAAAGTCCTTTAAATCTGAAATGATTCCATTATGTTCAATAAATAACAGGTGTTTTTAATTCACAGTAATTTTCATCTGAATGTGCTGGAGACATCCATCAGACATGGGCAATGTGGAGTCAACAAGCAGGTGAGTCCAATCTTCACCGTGAATTAACCTGTGCAGATTGGACTTACCTGGTTAATTGGCTGGGTAGATTAAATACATGACATGGAGATGACTTGTTGACTCCACATTGGCGATGTCTGGCATCCATGTTTGTCAAAGAACACTACTGCCACCTACTGGTTAGTGACGTCACGGTGCGGTATCGGCTGTTGATCAAGTCCCAGTGCTGTATCTGGTGTTTGTCACAACGCGCTATTATCCAAGTCATCTTGAAAACATTCTTCTTCCAAATGTTGGCTACATATTACGTGTTTTTTCTCTGGCCAGAAGTTCGATGGCAAATCCTCCCTCTTCAAGTTGGCGATCCAACGACGAACCCGTCCGTAGAGGATCAGGAATCAGAAAGGAGGAATAACTCTTTTTTTTCACTTTTACCCGATGTATTCCAGCATCCAGCTGCCATGCACGTGGGCATTGTCAGTTTCACTATAGCTCTGGTGAATTTCAATGGTGAAGTCCTCTGGAAATCTTCAATAATTGTTGTTGATTGCAGATGTGTCTAGTAGTTCCCACTGATTTAGCTTGTAAAGCGGGGAGAATGGCGCTAGGCTTACCGCACCGTGACGTCACTGCTGGAAGATGGCAGGAGGGAGGGGTTACTATATTTCCACAGACTCAGATTCAGTGATCATGCTGTAAATTGTTGTTTTTAATTTTTTAACTGATTAATGCTAAATTTATTAAATAAGTATAGATAATGATCCATTGATTATTCCTTGCTGACCAGACTTTTTAAAAGAAAAAGTCCGGTCAGCAAGGAATAATCTTTGAGGTTTTGAATGTTTTAAGGCCTCCAAATAGGCTATTCATTTGTCGGGATAAAAATTTTAATAAACAGAACAATTACAATAGGCTTTTGCAGCACTTCCGCTGCTCGGGCCCAATTAAGACCAACAGGTAAAAGGTTGCAATGTTTTGAATTTGACTGAGCGGCAGCGTCCACGGCTTTATCAGACAGGTGCTGTCGCTGTGGAGGTGAATAAATAGACAATCCTGCTATTATTACTCCAAGTGTTGCTTTAGGATTCATATTGTTTGGGACCTTTTAATTCAGCTAATAATGCAGAAAATGCCTATTTTGTTTCCTTTTGCTGTAAATTTTCCCTAACTTTACAGTTTCTTATTCATTTTATTTCTGATTTTATATTTTATGATTGTCAGTCTGAATGCTTCCTTGTTGTCTGTCACTGGGACACTGAAAAATCAGTAAAGATATCTTTATTGATACGTTTCCAGGAGTTTGGTGTTTATTACATTTTAGTATCTCCAATACATCAAATAATCTGAACATCTGTTGTATAATATACTGTTATATACAAACTTGAACATATCTAAAAAATGCATAACTTTTTTTTCTTTAGCAACATTTCTGCCACTCTTTGAACAACTACATACAAAAGCATCTTGTCTCCAGTTGCTCAGGGTTTGGAGATGAGCCTGTGGTTAGTTGAGTTAATGCGCTCCGTTGAACGCTGCATTTCGGACACCAGACAAACTTGTGACAAGAGTATTCCTGCCTTTCAGGAGCACAAGGAAGAAGAGGGAAATGCAGATGCTTATAACACCCAGAACGACCACTCCTGAGATGAGTATGCTGGTCACTGTGTTCATTTGAATTTCTGGAGCATTCAGAAGGGCTGCAGCAGAAGAAACAAAATAAACTTGATTATATTTTTAATAAACATTTCCTCTACTTGATCATCCTAACACAGCAGTATTGTAAAGCTTCAAAACTCTGGAAATCACTTTTCCAGTGGGACTACATGTAATATGTGTTTTCTGAAGACTTATGGGTTTTAGATAAAACTGGTTTCTTTTTTCGGAAAAAACTTTCAGCAGGAATAAAAACATAGTTAAATCAATGTTTTTCACTGGCTAGATGTTATATTTCACATTAAAAGTTGTGTTTTCATTAGGCGCAGATGCCAAAATCTCCATAATTACCTCAGAAAAACAAAATGTGTGATGTGTTTGGATTATAGTTCATACAAAAAACAAAACAAAACAAAACGTATGTCACTTAATATAATTGTGTGTATGTATATTTCACTTATTCATGTATATATTTATATTATTTATATATATTGATATGTATATATAGCAGGAAATAAAGGCCGATATTCATCATTGAAGATTCTCAAGGCATCACTGGAAAAACAACCTAGAAATAAGTAAAAATTTCTTAGATTAAGTGCATTTACCCTTAATTTGAGTAGGTAAATTAGATAGTTTGCCAATGGAATGAGTATTTTTACTCTTAAAATAAAACATTTAGATAATATGCCCTTGAAATAGGACAATGCAATTGTGTTTACTTATTTTTTTACGTAAATTGTCTTGTTCTATTGGCAAAATGTCTCTTTTACCTCCTTAAATCAAGAAGAAATGCACTTATTTTAAGAAAAAATGACTTATCTAGATTTCGTTTTTTGTTCCAGTGATCAAACTTAAAAAAGTTCAATTTAGGCAAATGGAGGTGAAGTTTTCCAGAAGTCATTTCCCCTCTCATCTAAGAGGCTCCTTCTGTTCTGTCCTTCAGTGGCTGTGGAGCACTGAGGTGGAACAATGAATTATACCTATAGAGCCATGCACAAACTGTAAGAATGTTTGCCCTTTTTGGGCCGATTTTCCAGTCGTGTGATCATTTTTTATCAGCCCAACTTCCAGCCTGATGGTGCGTGGTGTAGTATACAGGGGGTAAAGAGGGGCGATCAGCCTCTAACGACCACCCCCCCCATCAGGAATGGTAAGGTCGGGAGAAAATCAAACATGTTTGAAATTCAGTCAGCCATCTTAAGGTGGTCGTGGGCAAATCGCTCAGTGGGCAAACAAGGATTCTTCTTCTTCTTCCTCTCAGATGAAAACCCAGCAGCATGGCGGGGGTGCAATGAGTGAAATGGAGTTCTTTCTGTAAAATTGACAGACCGTGGTAGCCACGTGTGCGCAGCCATGTCTTTGTCCAAATACCTCGTTTTCTTTTCTTTTTAGGGCTTTCAGCACAACATTGCACAGATTGCAAAGGCAGCGTGTTTCACTCTAGTGAGCTTCATATTCCTCTGCTACTGGTTTGACGAGTCCGAGTAGCGCCATCTCACTGCAGAGCTGAGTCCCACAGGGTTTTTAGACGTACAGTGTTAGCAGGTAGATCGCATCAGAGCGTTCGGTCGCAGAGTATAAGAACATACATCATGAGCGGGGAACTGTCAAACCCTGTGGTTTCATCGTACGATTGAAAATATCACACAGTGTATGCCCGCCATAGTGTAGGCCAGTCCAGTGGGAGGGATCAGACTCACCTTTTGTTTCCCCCAATACTTTGTCAAGTTGCCTAAAACAAACCTTTTAAGGCTAATATTCAGAACTCTGATCCCATCCATTGACCTTAAACCCAGATTGTGTGTGTGTGTGTGTGTGTATAGGAGTGCTTACCCAGTTGAGAATTATTAGTTGGTGTTTCATCTGTGAAAAGACAAATAAAATGTAATCAATTCCCAGCATTATGGTTACACTAAAAAAAGAGTCACAGCAACTTAATTGTTAAAAAATAAATTTGAGTATGCACTTAGCAGTTTTTCAAGGTAGGCCTAATTATTAGATGGAGGTGAGATCCTTCCATGTTTCTTGTATCAAGATAAAAAAGATTATAAATTCAACAAATAATTAATTATTAAGTTAGTTAAGCCCAAAATTGATTAAGGGCCTAAAGCGTGAGCCTGAATGCACTACGTTGATTAATCTCATTCCTCTTCTCCTTTTCTTAGAGAAAATCTATTTAAATGTGATTTATGATTAAAAATAAATTAAAATAGGATCATAGCGAAGAAAGTTATTTTCTTTTTGTAATAAAATTAAGAAAGTAATAAATTTATGAAATAAAATTCCCTTTATTTTTCTATAATCTGAATAAAGTTGATGATTTATTTAAACTGTCCTTTCAGCTTATGATTAAGAAAAAAGCAGTTAAACAAAAATGTAAGACTGAATTAAAGGCTGTTTAAAGAAAAACGGAGGCTGACAACAAGTGATGTTTTGCAATAGGGGGACGTTTGTAAAGCAACTATTGATATAACTGACAGAGCTGCCTGATTATATTTAGTTCATTTCTATTAAAACATTCCTTATTAATTGAAAAGGGGAATTTTTCCATCACAATCCATAATTCTTCACTCTATGAAGAATCCTTCATTGTGAAATCATCTCTAGAGGATCTAAAGGAGTTCCTAGAACCACTTTATCCGCTGGTTTAGCTTTTATAGGTCTGATGCTGTTACCCCAGCAGAATATGGAGGAACAGATCAGACTCTCCACAGCAGAATCCTAGAGCATATGTAGCATCATGCTGCAAAGCTTCTTTAGGTAACCAATTCTGCTCATTTAGACGTTGGTGTTAAATCTAGTCGGTCCATCATAGTCTTGATTTACTCCAAAAATAGTTGTAGAAAATTGGGCTGTTTGTTTTATCTGATTTTGTCCCACTTTAATCCAATAATATATGTTGATAAGAAGCAGTTTTCAACGTCTTTTCAATGATTTGAAAATGAAGGCTTTTTTAGCTTTCCTCTTTTCAACCCAATGTAGACATTATTTGGATGTAAATCATGTCTTCTTTTCATGTCATCCAAGTCATGTCTTTTCAACCAATTTTTGCTCAGTGGGGCTGTGTTTCCAGTCCAGTATGTATACTCCTCCACTTCTTCTCCCATGATGTCATAACAGCTGTTATTTTATTTTATTGTTTTATTGACATTCAGGATGAGATGATTGTTTTCACACCATGCCACAAAGCGCTTCACCAGCTCTCTGTCCTCAGCTTCTGCTCCATCTTTGATGCTCCCAATGACTGCAGAGTCATCCCAGTATTTCTGCAGGTGACAGGACTCTGTCTGGTCCTGGAAGTCAGAGGTGAACAGAGGAAAAGGGAATGGAGAGAGTACCGTCCCCTGTGGTGCTCATGTCCTGATAATTACTGGCTGAGCTTTCAGTCTAACACACTATGGTCTGTTAGTCAGCTAGTATTTGATCCAGGTGAGTGTTGATGCCTCCACCTGAGTCTGCTGGAGTTTCCCATAAATTAAGTCAGGTTGAATCCAGCTAGTCGTTATGCTTGTAGAAAAGTGGGTGAATCTGGGGCTGAGAGTCACGCATCCTAAAGTCCCATGTCCTGTGCTGTGATTAGTGTGGCCAAATCTGGCTGGAGTCAAAGGCAGTTTACCAGACTAAATTAAATAATAATGGGACATTATTGATCTCACATTGGTGAAATTTACCTCTGCATTTAATTCATCCCCTTGGGGTGCAGCGGGCTGCCGACACCCAGGCAGCAGTGTGGGGTTGAGGGTCTTGCTCAGGGACCCAGAGTGCAGGCTGTGAGGATCGAACCGGGTGGGATCATCAACTCAATTTCCACGATAATAAGCAAACAGCAGGGGGTCCTGATAGCTGCTGGTTAGTTTGCTAAGATGAACCAACAGAAGTCTCTCTAGGACCTTCATGGTGTTGGACAACAGGGTAATCTACAGTTACTGAGGACTGATGGCCGAGTCTTCTTTGGTCCTGGGACAAGGCAGGAGGTCTTCCACATCAATGGAATCAGTGATGTTCATGAACACTTAATATGTTAATTTCTTCTAGTGAAACGATTCATTTTTAAGTAATGAACATGGAATGAGAGCGATATTTAGTCTGAGAATAATGAGTGACACACACAGCTGAATGTTGAAGTTCAGAAAATAACACTTTTCATTGGAAAATGCCAGGTTTTACAACCTGACAGACCAGCATTTCTACTGCAGGTACAAGTCTGCTCCAGTCAGACCGGTCTGCTGGTGTTTCTGATGCCAGTTTAGCAGAGTGCTTGGCAGAGTTTGATCAACTAACAGAGGAAGACTGGGACAGAAAAAAAGTCACTTTTTTTTCATTACACTTTCTCAAATACAGAGCAACAGAATGAATCTCTGCATTTAACCCATCCCCTTGGGGAGCAGTGGGATGCCATTGTGCGGCGCCCGGGGAGCAGTGTGGGATTAAGGGTCTTTGCCCAGGGAGCCAGAGTGGCAGTCCTTGCGGGTGGCGCTTGAACTCAGAACCTCAGGATTCCTAGTGCAATGCCCTGACCACTAGGCCGCCACTCCCCAAAGCAGGCGTGAGCATGAAGGGTCTTGCCCAAGGATCCAAACTGGTGGCTCATTCCCCTCTAGCTGGGCTACAAACCCAGGCTTCCTGTTTGCAGGACAGGTGACTGACCATTTGAGTTAGTCCGCCGCATAGTTTTGTGCAAACACCTAGTCTGTACATCAGCCACGCCCACTTCCAATTTAAAGTGAGACATGGAGTTAAAGCATCCGAGGTATCTGTGGAAATATCTGCTACTGAATGAGGAACGGAAGAAAGAATTTTATCCAGATCTTTTCAGCAGAACCTGAATGTTTCTGTATGTTTCTGAAGTTCTGTCTAATTTGGTTAAATAAAGACTTCATATTATGGCCACACTTTTAAAAGGGGGAAATAGAAGGTTCTATAGTGGAGGATTGTGGCTTCATTTACCAAATGAACTTGAACTAGTTCATTTAAAGGTTTGTGAACTGAGTCAGTGATCTATGAAACAAATCTAGTTCATTTTCATCTGTGTGAACTTTAGTTCTTTTTATTTATGAATTGGCTCAAAACTGATTGGAAGTGTGTCCTGCAGTCAAATGAACATCTCGCCCACGTTTATCCCAAAGCTTCTCTGTTATGCCTTTAAATGTATCACCTCCCTCTACCACCCCCTCTCTGCTTTTATGAGTTTGTTCCCATTCAGATCAGAAGGGGCTACCTTTGCTTTTCACCTCTCTGTCTCTAGAAGCTATGATATGTAACCATAGCAAACAGATCAAGTTGAATTTTTACAGTGTGGAGCAGCTTATTTACAACTCTAGGGCTAAAATAATACTTCAACTACTTCCACGAGTACTAGCTGAGATGCAAGGGAGGCAAAGGGGATGCAGAGCAGGAGCAAGGAGAAGAGTGAGGAGTAGGAAACTCAAGCCATCTCTTCCATCATTCATCATGGACAAGGTCAGATCATTATGAAATAAGTTAGAAGAACTACGAGCCAGAGATGGGGACGAGTTTGAGACTCGAGTACTTAAGTTGCATAATTAATGACTTCCAAATTGATTTGGACTTGCGATTTCAGAATTGTGAGCAACCTTTAGTTTTTTACTACTTTGACTGTAGAGGCAGAATAACAGCTGTCAGGCAGTCACGTACTAAAGGGTTGTGTATCCTCCTGCAGCAGTGTGTCGCGGTTAGCTTGCCGTTGGTATGACACAAATAGTTTTGCTTTATGCCCAATTTTGAAGCATGGTCTGCACTGTTATTCCACGCCACGACGCAAGAGGGACACGAGCTAGCTAGGATTGTGGGTGTCCGTGTGTCGGTTTGATAAGCTTGTTCGTCATCTACAACCCCTCATCCAATGCCAGACGACACACCGTGAGTTTTCCCGAAAGACTGTCCATGGCGCTGCATGTTTCGGCTTCGGGTGCAAATAAACAGACCGTCGCACAGAGCTACAAACTAGCATCCTGCTTCGAGTCTGGAATAGTGTCTGAGGTGTGCCAGGCGTTGTGGACGGCACTACAGACAGAGTTCCTGCCATTAGGTACCAAACAGGAAATATTCATAGTGTAGACCAGGTTTAACGCTACGTGACGCAGCTTCTGTAGGAAAAAAATACACAACGCCAGGTCCACCTCATCTAATTTCATCCGCCACCTGAAAAACCCGGACAGGTTAGTCCCTGTGTAATAGGTTAGCTTTTTAGTACTTTAAATCACACTAACTCTCTGAAGGACTGGTGTGGACATCCTCGGCAGGACACCCCCCCCCCCCCCCTTTCTGCTCATTTACTTTAGCCAACAGTAACTGGAATGGCTGCAGCCAACATGTGTTCAGAGCGTTTTGAGCGTGTTTTTTCCTCTCTCCCGCTCCTCTTCTTTCCAGCCTATCATTGGATCAGAGACATAAATTATTGGGGTCGCTATTCACTGACGTACATAGCAGCTAAGTGGTTGAAGGAGACACACAGCAGCAGTCAGTGAGTTTCACCGGCAGCTACTTCCATAGATGTTTAAGTTAAAGTTAGGAGACGGGTTGATTAAAAAAAATTAACAATGCCACCGGAAAATCAGTTTGTTAGACACACGGAGCTTTTTCAGAAAAAAAAGCACCAGATTTTAAGTTAATACAGGTTAGTATTATGGTGCAAGGAGCTTGAGAAAACGTAGTTCAAATGTTGTGTTTTTCTTTACTAGTTAAAAAAGCTGGGCTTCTCAGAGGACCATGACTCAGAGTTACAGGTTAGAATGAAGACATATCTGTTGTTTTCTGGTTGAACAGAATCAGACTGCAGAGCTTCTAGATATCTGGAAAATCAGTTTCTCTTTCATCATTATAATAGTAGACAGGTTCGTAAA